ATAACCAGAAGGTATAATTTAATGTTCATTCTTTAAAGGAAAATCCAGCCTTAGTAGTAAACTACTCTAAAAAGAAGGCAAAAATTAGAGAAACAGATTGCTAGTAGCTTGAAAAAAATCGACAAAAATAAGAAAATTATGAGTTTTGGAAAGTTATAATACGTATGGTCACTTCAAATTGTCTTAAATGGTAGTGTCACTGTGAAGAAGTGCCAGACAATTTTCCAATTTGTTCCAGTTAAATTTTCATTTCATGACTAAAATTTTATTTTTTTAAAACATGATTAAGGATGGTCTTCTCTTTTTAAAGGACCTGTAATAATATGCTACCCACAATATATTTTAAGACATGGCCCAGGGAGAAAGTGCTTTGGAGAAAAACAGAAACTTATGATATTTTTATTAACAACAAACTGAAGGGTTGTTTATTAATTTGTCACAATAAATTGCGATTTTCATCGATACAATACAATACAATACAATAAAGTCATTTATATAGCGCTCTTACAAACTAACTGTTGTTTCAAACATCAACTTTCTTATGTTGGTCTGATTTATATTTCTGCATGAAATCAGTACAAGGGTTGGATTTCCCTTTAATCACCTAGAGTTGAAAAAACTCAAAGAAACATTGATAGTTCTGTCAATTTTCCCCCCATTTCATGCAAGTAATTATACTGTGAATGTTAAATAGCAATTAGCATATTTATTTATCTTGCCAATAATTGTCAATATGGTGTTAACAAAGCTTTGAAAGTAATAATGGTTGCTGCAATATAAGCACTCTGTTCCAGAATTTCCAATCCTGTACCACCTTGCCTTCTTGAATGTGTTTTGTGTGATTTATAGGAAGAGAAGAGATGGTTCAGAGAGATGAAATGCAGAGAGGCTGCTTTACCAGTCAATCGTGTGATGCAGCCACCTCTTAGGTCCCATATGTTATAAACACAGAGGCAGATTTTATTCGCAAGGTGCATACTCACATTATATTGTACATAATTATGTGAAATCAAATTTTAAGTTACTTCGCATACTGTGGCACCTTACACTGATGCACAGGATATCATCATCATCACAGGGATGTTACAAGGATTTCCCTTTTATTACCCAGAGTTTCAAAGACTTAAAGAAATGCTGAGGACCTGCTGAAGGGGATTACTAGCTGTTTCAAGGTTGAAGGTTACTAGCCAAGTGTGGGATGTCTATCTCAAAACACTCAATGCAGACATTCTCCTTCCAGGTGCAGAGCAGCCCTTACACAAAACTCGGTTCTTGATGCAGAGCCTGAGAAATTGTTAATTTTCACAAAAAACTGAGTGTTCATGTACATGAGCATATGATATCAAGCAAAGGCCCTTTAATATTTGTGTTCCCTTAGAAAATTCATTAAAAAGTTTATCGAAAACATCCTTCCTATGTACTAATGTAGGCCTATATGTGTGTTTGCCCGTCTGTATGTAAGTCTCTTTCTGCCCGTGTCTCGATCACCTCTCTCTCTCTCTCCTTCTCTTACTCCCCCTCTGTTTTCTCCATCTTTCACTCTTTCTCCATCTGTCTCCCTGTCCTATCTCTCTTTCCACATTCCCTTAGCTTTATCCTCCTTTCTCTGTTATCAATGTTCTCCCACTATTCTCTTCCTATAATACCCGTACCCATATATGTCTACATTTACCCCTCCCCCCCCCCCCTCACTCTCTCTCTCTCTCTCTCTCTCTCACTCTTTCTCTCTTTCCCTCCATCTCTCACTCTGCCTTCATGTTTCTTGCTACACCAATATCTTCATCTACTTATAAAACCAAATTATAGTCGAGCCTCATCCACTTACTCATGACCATGCAATTTCATTTTCGACATATTTTATTGGTAGGTCATGCATATTTCAACAATATAAATAAATTGTACAAATATTACCAACTAATGTGAACTTTGTTAATAAAAAAATATATTACTGGTACCGGTACATACAATTGTACATGATTGAGTTCAGCAATACATATAACATCTATGATAAAGTTCTACAAACATAAATAATCACTACATGTAGCACTCCCACTGTTGCTGTATTACCAAGGAGCTCTTTAACTTTACAATCTTACTAACACATGTCTTATTAATTCTTTCTGTTCATATAGTTATACAGATCTCATATTTCAAGAATTCACAACTTCTGTACTATTAGTCCGATTTATTTCAAAATTGTCCCTTTCTGTTTATCTTATTTTTTCTACTTTCACACAAATGAATTCATTACAAAGGTTGGAAGAACAGTTTGAACATCACAAAACAAAGCAAAGAAAAATGGCAACTTTGTTCATAATTTTGTTTAGTGGTAACAGTACATACAATTGTACATGATTTAGTTAAGCAATACACATAACATGTATGATACAAACAGAAATATTCAAAATTGTCCCTTTCTGTTTATCTTATTTTTTCTACTTTCACACAAATGAATTCATTACAAAGGTTGGAAGAACAGTTTGAACATCACAAAACAAAGCAAAGAAAAATGGCAACTTTGTTCATAATTTTGTTTAGTGGTAACAGTACATACAATTGTACATGATTTAGTTAAGCAATACACATAACATGTATGATACAAACAGAAATATTACTACACTGTATTACCAAGGAGCTCTTCAACTTAACAAGTCCTTGGCATTACTATCTACTAGTACATGTTCTACTCTAATCACCCTACTAGTGTTGAATTGCCATTTGGTCCACAGGCAGTTCATCTACTATCCAATTAGTCTATTCCCATATGGTCTACACCCAGCCCGTCTACTATCCACATGTTCTAATAATCATTTCATCTACATGTACTTATTGTTTGGTCTAATGACCATTTAGGCCAATAGTCATTTGGTCTAATTTCCATATGGTCACATCTCCAATTAGTCTAATGATCATGCATGCATGCATTTGATGATTATTGGTATTTATGATTAAATGATTATTAGACCATATGGACAGTAGACAAAATGGGAATTAGACCAACCAGAAATTAAGCTACCGGTAAATGAGTGATAGACCAAATGACTATTAGCTAAGTAGTTATTAGACCAAATGATAAATAGAAGAAATGATTATTAGACCCTGTGGATAGTAGACGGGCTGGGAATAGACCATACAGGAATAGACCAATTGGGTAGTAGACGAACTGGTTGTAGACTAAACGGCAATAAACCATATGTTTTTACACTCTAACATTTTTTTTCTTTTCCACAAACAATTCATCCTCATTTTACACTTTCAAGGTTGCCCTTGAGCAAACATCTGTGTTTTATTTCAAAGATGTTTAATACTGTCTAGAAATCGTTTTACACACCGGCCATCACAACTTTTCATTTTGGTTATCAGCATACTTTTGTTAACAAAATATAGCATTTTTGAACAGAACATAACAAAACACCTCCCAATACAAATTTGAAAATACAAAATTCAAGGTAGTCTGTAAAAGAAAAGTTAATAGCAAATGGCTCAAAACACACTTAACTATAATTGGCAAGATGTCATTGAGGTATCTGGCACATGTCTAAATATATTACAGTTACTATTACCGATTGTTTTCGACATTGGAAAAAAGAAAAAAAATCGACCTTCAATCAGCCTAATACTTCTTTTAAATCTAGCTGGAATTTCAGAAGTTGACCTCTGTAACCTTTGATCTAGTTACTCCAAAATTTAATCAGATTGTCTTCCTATGGTGGTACATAATATCATAAAGTGTGAGCTTAATATCTCTAGTGGTTCTTGAGATATCGGGATAACAAGGCATATCTAGATTGTGAGAAATTGACCTCCGTGACCTTTGATCTAATAACCCAAAATCTGATCAGATCGTCTTCCTATGGTAATATGTACATGTTGTGTCATAAAGTTTGAGCCTCATTATCTCCAGTGGTTCTTGAAATATCGCAATTACGAGGCTAATACCTGGAATTTCATAAGTATACCTCTGACCTTTGACCTTCGGTCTAGTAGTTACTCCAAAATCTAATCAGATTGTGTTCCTATAGTGATACATTTAAGGTTCATATCTCTAGTGGTTCTTGAGTTATCAGCATAGCAATAAAGCAATTTAAGCGAGACGGACGTACAGAGTACTACAGACGGACGACTAAAAAAAGGGCAGAGGTATAAAAATATTTGATAATGAAAACATTGCTATTCAGAATACTGTTGCCTTCGTTTGATCGCAATTACTAGGCACTAGCTAGCCATAACCTGACTAAATTAGTTCATAAGAATACTCATTTACATTGTGCTACATACCAGTAGTACTTTGGCTTCATTTGGTGTATCATTAAAGTACAAGTCCACTCCAGAAATAACTTACTTTCAATAGAAGCAGAAAAATCAGACAAGCCAATCAAAAAAGTTTGAGTAAAATCGGATAGTCTAACTAATAAGAAAGTTATAAATTTTTGAAAAAGTATGAAAAACTATGGAACAATGGAAATCAATACACAAATTACCAATTTGGTTATCAGTTTGTGACGTCATGTCCTAACTATGGGTATCAATTGCTTTATATATTTGTATTCATTAAGTTCCCTTTTTATCCCCCCCCCCCCCCCCCCAAAAAAAAAAAAAAAAAAAAAAAAATTGATTTCCCCTTGCCTTTGCCCAGGTTATATGATTTGTATCATATTGCGGGCATGACATTTCACAAATTCTGTTAAGAACTTTGAAGAATTGATACTATTTTCTCAATATTGTATGTTCATAATTATTGGTTCTTATATAAATAGTTTATAAAAATTCACATTTTTCATGATTTAACTGAAGCAAAAAATTACTCTATATTAGTGCATCCACACAAAAACACTTTACTATCAATATATATATCAATGGATAGTGTGGCAATGACGTCACAGACACATGAGTGAGTTGCCAATTTGTCTTGTGATTTTCAAAGTTTTTCATGTCATTTAAAAATTCATAACCTTCTAATTAGTTATCTGATTTTGCTCAAACTTTTTTTGATTGGTTTGTCCGATTTTTCTGCTTCTATTACAAGTAAGTTATTTTTTAAGTGGACTTGCCCTTTAAAGAAAAATCAACCTTGATAAAAAGTTGATAGCAAATTACTCTGAAAGAAAGCAAAAGCAAATTGGGTAACCCAGGAGCATCTTCATTTTAGGGGAACTATAATAATAAACTACCCTTACCATATTTTTGGAGGAGTGGCCCAAAGGAGAAGGTGCTCGGTAGAAAGACGCAAATTAATTATAGTTTTGGACACGACAAACAGGAGATGTCCATGACTGTACCTCAGAATCCACTCACCAAATTGCCAATTTGAGATTTGCACTGATATAGTATTTATGATTTAATATTGCAAACTTTATAACTTTCTCATATGTCCAATTTATTTCAAATGTTCGCCATTCTCTTACTCTTATCGAACTTAATTACAAAATTTTAATTGCCTATTATTAAAGAACTATTCAATGCTTAACAAAACATTGCATAGTCAGTCAAAATCAGCACCATCAACTATAAACAATGCTCTCATCCATGCTCACAATACTGAGTTTACGACTACTGCAACCTAACTTATTCTCTTCCCCATCCCCATTGACCTTTGACATTGAACTTTGACCCGTCATTGACCTAGTGATCATTCGTGCAGGTTGGTGAACCTCGGCAGTGGTGCTGATCTGTGTAGGAGAGTGAGCCTTCAAGATCTCTACCCTTGTCTTCTTGATCCCAGAAGTCAGTCTGACTCGCTTAGAATTCCCGTAAGAACTGCTGCCACTTTTGGATGCGGGGGTGGTCGGTGCGGTGGTGGAAGACTCAATAATACTTGCCAGAGGTACTCCAGAAATGACTACAATTTATGAGATATAGAAGGGAAATAAGTCTATGACCACATTTTGACTGAAATATAATAACTTGCCAAAATCTTATAGTTATAATTATTCAGAGGATATGAGTTTTTATTCATATTTGAAAACCAGAGCTCTTTTTCATCAAAAGCAAATAGAATCTTTAAAATGAGAAAAACAATTTTATCTTTAAATCATTGATGGAAAAGTAATTGATGTATGAAAAAGACAGCATGCATACTTGCAACCAAAGCTTCATTGACATTGAACTTTGACCTGATATTGACCTACATGTTCTGTAGATCATTCGTGCAGTGGTTTTTAGTAGCAAAACAAGCACTAATATTTATTCAAATTCACACGTTTATACAAAAGACCTAACTTTTTACTTAAATTGGTATTCTGAGAATCATTATAACAAGATTTTAACCTAAACAAGTTTTATAAGCATAATTTTATTTCTAAAATATATTTAAAATAAAATCGGTATGTCGATATCAGATTTTATCTTTCGTTTTATCTCGTGACCCATTACAGTTAAATTATGCATCAACCTTCCCCATTTATACAGACGGTAATCCTTACAGCATGCACAACTAAAAAGGTCAGTTTTTATTAAATAATTCGTCATACTAGACACTAGACAGTCATTTTTGTCTACTTATAATGGTGTTCAAAAGCCTCTGAAACTACCTCAGTAATTTTTGAAAGAGATCCTACCAAAAGTGTATTTGTGCTTGAAGCACCCATTGTGCATTTTTTCAAAATAAGCAGTTATGCTCTCTTGATCTAAAGACCCGCAGAGAGTGATTCTATGGGTTGAACATGAAGAGAGTGAAATGTAACAATAACTCTTATTGTTTATCACAATATAAATGGACGTGTCTCGGTGAGATAAAACCTTACTAAAATAATTATCAAAATACTGATTTAAAAAAGATTTCAAGGGTATTTTTCCTGGGACATAGAGCTTCATGTAATCTTGTTAAAAAACCTGCTCTTAGCTAGAGAGATTCGCTTCACAAACCTGAATCATTACTTGAAGTCTGTTGTCCAGTGTTGGTAATCTGGGTGCTGTGCTGATTGAACTTTCCTCTCAATGCAGAAGTGTAACTCAGGTCAGTGATGCTTCCGCTGATGCTAAGATGTCGTGACTCCCTGCGCTTAGCCAGGATGTTATCATCATCACGCCAGGCCCACTGTAGCTTTAGCGACCTCGCACAAAACATCCCAAGAACTTCATTTCGCACTGTCTTGTTCCAGATTGCATAAATCATCGGGTTGAAGATAAGGCTACAGTATGCTAGCCACATGGCCCCAGCTTCTAACCAATTTGCTATAAGCTCATCACCGAGCACAGTCTCGTAGACCAGTTCAATTATAAATGGACACCATATGATCAATAATGCACTGACTGTGACTAGCACTGTTCGGATCGCTTTGGTTGGTGAGTTCATTCTGATGTTTACCAGGAGGGATGTCCTACGTGAACGCCTCCGGGTCATCATCTTTATCGCTTCCTCCGCAACAATATTTCCATGGCTGACCCTTCGAGATGATCTCCTAGCAACCTTGAGGATATGACCATAGCAGAAGCACATCAGGATTAGAGGGAAGATGGTTGTCATTATTGCATAGAATCCTGAAAATGATTTGTCATAGTGCCAGTCCACCATACATGCTGATTTTGCGACCCGAAAGCTGTACCTTGACCAACCAAACGAGGGAGGTAGAGTGCATATAAGTGCTAGGATCCAAACGCATACTATAAGGTGAGTCGTGTAGTTGGAAGTCATTTTCAGGGGGTACATCATGGGCTGAACAATGGCATAGTATCTGAAAGAAGAAGCAAAACATGCAAAATTATGTTTCAGATATGGTTTCAAAAGTGGTTTCAAAAGTGGTTTCCTGCATTGCAGTTCCTATAAATAGAACCAAGATAAATTATACACTGTGGCCTGAAGTCCTTTCACTGAATGCCCTTAAAGTAAATAAAGAAATTATATTATTCAGACATTTCTGAACAGTCCAAATCAAAAGAATGTTTGAAATTCCATCCTATGTTGTTTACTGCCCACAATCTACAACTAAGTACAGCTTAGCTGAAAGCATTGAAAACAGGATTGACTAAACCATACAGTCACTCCCCACCTAAACTCTTCTACATATATCTCCCTTTACAAAATTTTCTATCAAACTCAATAAAATTGCAACATTTGTTTTCAAATTCATGCAATTTCTCATCATGATGATATCTGATTTCAAAATGAACCTATGCTTTAAATGGCAGATTGAAGAGTTCATTAACTCCCCAAACTGGATTAGAATCACTTTACCTGTCCAAGGTAATGAGTGCCACGTTAAAGAGGGAACCAGTGAGTGTACACAGTGAGATGAAGCCCATTAGGTTACACATCACCACGCCAAAGATCCACTCCCGAAGCACACAGGCTACAAGGTTGAAGGGCAACACTGTGAACGACATCACCGCGCTAGCGATTGTCATACTGTAGACAAATTGGTTGCTTGGATTCTGGAGGTAAGTCTTTTTGTGGATGGTGTAGATGATGATCGTGTTCAGAGCACCAGCTACAACGGCTATCAGAGCCAGGGTGACTGCCTCCAAGATGATAGTCCATTGTGGTGTTATATATGCAACATCAGCATCATCTGGTAAAGATGCTGTGGTGCTCACCAGATCTGAGGTATAGAGAACTGTGCCATCCATTTCTCCAACACAGAATAGTGGCACATGTGGTCTGGGAAATCTCAGCTCATCTGCAAGCCAGCAGGAATCCTAACTCATCTCCAACTCATCTCTGACTAAGGCTTGGGATTAGTCTCAAGGGAACAACCTAATCATAGAAAATAGAAATGCTACAGGTGAGTGTAATTGTAATAGATTTTTTCTAGATGCTTATCATCTGGGGACAGGACTTTAACGTCATAAGACACAACCTCAGGATCGAACAGAACCTTGCAGTACACACCAATATGCTAGATGATCAACTTTTTCTGATCGATTCCACTCCGTTTCTTTCACAATGCAATTGCGATATGACCAGAACTCAGCTTTATCTTTAACTTAAGTGCGGGCGACAAGGATTAATGACCACCATGATTACCGACTAGCGCCTTTTAGCGTCTGTGTCTCGGGAAAGCCGACAGTTACCCAATATATCTGATATCTGTCTGAATAAACTGTTAATAAGTGTTAGTTACTGTTACTGTTAGTTACCTGTATTACTCACTCCAGATCCCGCCCCCCCCCCCCCCACTCAGTGTTATTTAGGGTACGCATATGCGTGTTCCCAGCCCCCCCCCCCCCCCTTTCAGCATAAGTCTGGTGTGTAAAGTTAATACGGGTAGACTTTTTTCTTTTGTTATGAGCCGGAGATTTTGGGAACAAGTTAATGCCAGAGTGTAGGTATGTAACAAAAAAATTAAATCCCAGAATTCAAGCTCTTGCTTTATAGTTATACCATCAAACAGAGCTTGATAAGACCTTTTTTTTTTTATTCCTCATTCATCCTAATACTAGCCCCAGTAATAAGAAAGTTATACCAATTTTAAATGCCCGTAAATCATGTATTTAATCAGTTAATTGCTTTGTTTTCCTTAGTTTTTAAAACAAAAGTTGTGACCTCAAATGTGACCGAAAGATTCTATTTTATTACAAAAAATTGCCAAAAAATGTATGTAAATACGCGAAAACCGCTAATTGGGCCATAATTTTTGCATGACATTTCACATTCCTCATTAAAAAAAACATATTTCTCATCCATAGATTTCGCTGAAATTTCACCAAAAGAAAATTCACGTTAAACAATCATCCTGAATGCGGGATCAGGGTACAGAATGGTACTAAACACAGCTCTTGTGAAACAGCTACAGTGCAGCAAAACAAATAGACCGAAAGCTTCAGTCTCTCTAATCGTCGGTTGTTCCACCGAGACTACGTCTGGCTCCACTAGACCTCCGATTATAGATTGTATTGGGGAATGACAACAAATGTCAGTTTTATTAAAGAAATGACCCAAATCAGATGGTTATTGCCGTCTACAAAACAAACTGCCGAAAACATAAATCATAGAAAGTTTAGAATGAAAGATAACAATGTCATTCTTCTCTTCCAATAGGAATCATAAAACGAAAATCTAATCAGCCCATCAAAAGATCGCATTTGCGTAGGCTATCCAAATGGGTCTCCAAATAGTGCATAACAGCCCCATGCCAGAAACCTTATTCTGTTCATGGCGAAAGCGCACACATTGCATTGTAAGGTAGGTAGATCTACCTTACAATGCAATGTAAATGCAATGCAATGCAATGCGATGTACATAGCTAGTGAGAGTGTTACTAAATTTAGCGTTAGCGTTGGCTTAGCTAGCACGTCCAGTAAGTTAGTGTTAGTTGTTACTCAGCTCAGTCTTCAATTTCATGTCATGAAATACATATTCTGCAGGATATTTGTAAAGTCGTTCATAAATCAAGCTTACATTATGCTAAAGTCAAGGAAGGTGCTCATTCTGGACGTGATACATTCCGTTGGTATGTGTGTTTGTACGTACGCGTCGCGGCACCCAGAACAACTGAAGTGACAATCCACGTGTGTGGGCCAAATGAAAACAACCTCGTTCTAAAAATGTATCATTGAAACGAAAAAAGATTTCATGAATAGACATGTTAATTAATCTATCTTTTGAAATAAATAAATAAACAAGTAAAAAATATATTTTTAAAGAAGTTTTTAGTATTTATATTTGATTTTATCACTTAATATACAAATTATTGATCATTAAATTGATATTAGGGGGACCACCCAAGTAAGGACTGATACTGCGCATGCTCTGAGCATCTGAATTCCGTCGTCTGCTCAGGCTCATTTATTTTGGAGTTGTTACTACGAGTCACCCCCCCCCCCCTCCCTCCCCCCCCCCCCTTCTCCCCCTTCTCTCTCTCTCTCTCTCTCTCTCTCTCTCTCTCTCTCTCTCTCTCTCTCTCTCTCTCTCTCTCTTTCTCTCTCTCTCTCTCTCTCTCTCTCTCTCTCTCTCTCTCTCTCTCTCTCATTAGATATTAGACGCATAAAATGTTTAAACAACAAACGAATAATAGGGTGTAAAACACTTTTTTTTTTGGGGGGGGGGGTCCAATTTGTAAAGAATTATTTAGCAGCGAATCATCCAGCCGTTGAATATGCGGGGGGGGGGGAGAAACACTTTTTTGTTTGCCCAGAGGGATCGAGGGGGCGCTTTACTTTTTTGTCTAAAAAAGGTAAAAATTTGCCTTACCATCTTATCTTTTTACCAGTTTGTTTGCTAGGGGAGACGCCCCCTCCCCGTGGATCCGCGCCCGTATCTACCCCCAGAATCTTCTCACCGGTACCAGAGTTGCCGAGGCCAATTGTGCAACGCACCGCCCCCCTCCTCCCCCCCCCCCCCCCCCCCCAATAGTTGATTTAGGGTACACGTACATACATGTTCCCTCCTTTTGAAAGCACCCCCCAAGTCCGGTGTGTATTTGATCTCAGACGAAGGGTTGGGTTTTTATCAAATTAGTAGAATACAGACAAAAGCATATGAGGCAGTATAAGTGATTCCGTCACAAAATCACTCCAAATAACTGACTTTGCCAGAAGAGCAATCTCACAGAGTGGTTTTGTCACAAAATCAATCTCACAGAGTGATTTTGTCACGAAATCAATCTCACAGAGTGGTTTTGTCACGAAATCAATCTCACAGAGTGATTTTGTCACGAAATCAATCTCACAGAGTGATTTTGTCACGAAATCAATCTCACAGAGTGATTTTGTCACGAAATCAATCTCACAGAGTGGTTTTGTTACGAATTAATAATAATATTAATTAAAATGTTTTTGTACAGCAAAATTGCACGTCTCTATTAATATTATGCGCTTGCAGAATATAAATCCGAAGGAGTGAAAATGGTGCACTGGGTTGATAATTGTGAGATTTTGCAATGAGCTAAATAAATATGTTTTCAAATCACTTCTGACATTTTCCTATGTTTCTATATTTCTAAGTTATTCCATCAAGTTATTCCAAGGGGGGCCTACACCCTACAAACTCTGCTTTTTTATTTGGCCCTTCTTCCCTTTCAATTCATGTTTATTTGTATAATGTATTGTATTGTGCAAATTGATCTATATGAATATGTTAAAATGTACCATCATTGTAAATATGAACAATTGAAAGAGGAAAAATAAATGAATTGAAATAAGTGAAATTGAATTGAACAGTGTCTGCATATGAAAATTACCATTATGATTATTCTGGTTTATACTGTATTAACATCTCAATGCAAACTGATGGAAAAATTGATAAATTAAATAAAGTACTTAAACCGAATACTGGACTGGATAGGTAACCAATGTAAATTTATTATTTAGGTTTCTTTGTTCGTTTTACGAGTCAAGCTGCTGAATTTTGAATAAGCTGTTACATTTGAATTTCATATGACGGAAGACAAAAAAAGCAAACTATTACAAAAATCCAAATCAATCTCAAAGAGTGATTTTGTCCACGGAATCTAACCCGCGTATATTGCAGATCTGTCCACTGAGATTACTGATCTGTACTGAACTATATGTATACCTCCAATGTTTACATACTGTACAAAAAAATTGAGTCTAAGTATTATGTTAGCCAGTCTTTTGCTTTACAATTTCATATCGATCTACAAATACCCAAACGTTTTTCAATTTGGCATGGCCTCAAAGGGGGGGGGGGGGGGGGGGGGGGGTAGGAGGCAGGATAAAAGATATAGATGTACTTTACAACACTCATTTTGAAGACCAACATAGAGTAAATTAGACTAATCAAAATTATAATCAGGCATTGCAACATTATAATGAAGGGGAAGGGGAGAGATGGAAAGATAGAAAGATAGAAAAAGGGCTGGTTTAGCTCTAATATTCTGGAGTTTATACATGAGTTTCGGTCAATGAAACCACTTGGCTTCTGAAAATCTATTACCCAAAGAGCAGGGCCGTAGCCAGAGTTTGATGGTTTTTTTTTTTTTTTTTTTTTTTTTTTTTTTGGGGGGGGGGGGGGCACTTACATGTAATTGATCGACGTCCTGGGGAGGGCACTTACATGTAATTGATCGACGTCCTGGGGAGGGGTCTAAAAACGTTCAACCGGTCTTGGAATTTTTTTAGGGGGGGGCACGTGCCCCCCGTGCCCCAAAACATGTATCTCCCATCTGAGATCAACAAAATTAAGTTCCGGTTTGATATACGTATACGTAAACTGACCCATTTTATATATTATTTTTAAGTATCGAGAGAATCAATTCATTTTTTTCAAGTTGGGGGCAAAACAGACACCTCAGAGAGGCGGGTAGGTAGCATGAAGACAGAGAAAGGGGAGAAGTTAGATATTAAGCAGAGAGAGAAAGAGAAAGAGAGAGAGAGAGAGAGGGAGAGTGAGAGAGCAGGCGCGGATCCAGGATTTCTTAGGGGAGGGGGCCCAACTTTTTTTTTTTTTGCTCCCGAAATTTGAAAATCGCGCCGGCCGAAAAGTCGCTCAGTGGGGGGGGGGGGGGGGGGGGGGGGGGGGTGAGAGAGAGAGAAATGTTGTTATTATTATTATTATTATCTTTAATAAGTAATTATTTTATTTTCTTATCTGTCGGTAAATAGTACTATTTTAACTTATTAATTTTGTACATGTCTGTAAGGGACCCCACTGGAAATAAGCTCTCGAGCTTTCGTGGGTTATCCTGTTCAATCTGACTTATTTTTGATCTGGTATTATTGTATATTGTAGTATGTTGGAAGCTTGTCGATTAAAAATCAATCAATCAATCAATCGGAGAGAGAGAGAAAGATATCCTATAATAAAAACGCCGTCTACGGTAACTTTAAGAACAACTTGTAGATCTACTCCATCAATTGCAAGTGCAGGCTAGGTAAGATCAATCCCCCCTTTTACAAATTATTATTATTTGTACCAGTAGAACTATTGATTATTCAAAGCCCACTCAATTATAATTTGATAAACAGGTAGAGGGTCTAGACCTAGGCCTAACCCATTATAGATCTGTTTAACGTCTTGCTGGCCGGTGCATGCAGTGCTGAGTCCACTGCATATGGTACGGAGCTCGGCCGGCCCCGCCGGCTCTGGGCACCGCTGGGGCTGGGCAGGGCATCGGCATGATGATTGGGGCTTTTGGGGGTCGTGTGTCTGGAGTCTCCGGATACTGCGCGCTTACGCCTTGACAAACTGTCTTGAGAGTAGAGACAGTCACCTAATTAGGAAAGAGTCTGTCAATCATATATTGACCATGTGCCTCTAGATAGACTTCTGTTTATTAACATATTTTTGTAGGGGTTGTCTCCCCCTCTAATTTTATCGTTGATGACTCTTGACGGTTGACCTCTCACACTTTGTCTGCACGAATCCGGGCTAATCGCCGAAGGTCACAATCTCAGAATTTTTTCTTCATAGCTTCACAAATATACAAACCCATCTTAAATGGTATCTGTATTTGTTGTAAATTAACCAGCCACAGTTAAATGATGATAGGTTTAATCATTGGTTCAGCACATTATTATCAGATGAGACCTAGACTATATATCTTTCTTTCAAAGGAAAGAAGATCAAGCTACACTTCAGTAGAGGAACAGCTTACATGTACATATGTATTCATAGTTCGTTACTCATTGAGTGAATTCAAGTACGGTGTTAGTGTTTGGAGCGTGGAAAGGCTGCTGAGCTGAACCGAGCTGTAACATCGAGGGTCAGTTTAGAAGGGTGATCACGTTATCACAACACCAACACCAGCTTTCAACACCGAACTTGAAATCACTCATTAGGTACATGTATTTCTTTATAGTGCTTTATACCTGCTGTAAGTATGAAACATTTATAATTCAACAGTGGTGTCTTGACGTTATTTTTTTAATGTGTACAGAAACGTGTGGAAATCAAATTATTTTGATCATGGCACCTTATTAGACTTGATATGATGATGATGATGAGAGGATATCTGAGCTTGAGGAGATCCTTGCTTCACCTGGAGGGATGCCGTTCCCATCTCATTCCACGATACCTCCATTCCAATGTGACGCAAAGAAGTCTGGTTAGGGACAATGATGGGAACCAAGCACCAGTATCCAAAAGAAGTCCCTTTTTCACTACTCCAATTTTCTATGTGAATGCAAGTAAGTAATTCATTTAAGAGTATTTTTTTCCTCTCTTTAAATCTAGCTTACACCACATATTTATTCTTTTTATCTTTGGAAATCAAATGTAGTTTAATCTTCAATTTCTAATCCATTAAAATTGATTTAATTCTAGTTTAACATTCATTTTTAATTAACTTTTGATATAGTTTGTGATACTATGGCATTTCCTAGTTGAGAGCTGAAGTCATTAAATGTACTTGTTGTGACGTTTTTAAGATTACTTATCACATAGCTGTCCATCCTAGTATTTAAAGATACTATGTCCCTTTTGCAGCCAACCTCAAATTCTGTAGAACTTTGCAGGAATTATGAATATGTCATGTATGTCCTATCTCTGAAATTTAAACGTTAGCAGTGTCCTCATATTCAAATTATGCAAGGAAACCTGTTGACTTGCTAGACTTCACTGTCAGACACTTTTGTCAGTATTGAGTGACTGACTGGCTTTTTCTTCTTCTTTGGTAATAACATACATAAAATGAGCTGTAAAGGATTTGTCTACATCAATAACCCACTTCTTGTAATGGCCAAAATTAAATTGATTGAATCTTTGCGCATCATAAAACGTACGACCATGCGGTACAATGGTCTGAACATCAAGACTATTACATATCGGCTCTTAAGAAGACAGATGCTGGCGGACAGATTCAGACAAAAGATGAAATGCATCGAGATCACCCTGTCATATTAAACGTTAAGCCCAGCAGGCAAATGGAACTTTTGAAGCTCCAATAACAAGCCATTTGGATGCAGAACAGAACTAATGAAACATTGTACTATCGAACCTTACACTATACCTAGTTTCCCCCCTTGGAAAATTAATGCTCCAAAAGTGTTGATAGAATTAAGCGAAATAGTGAACAAACATGAAAACCCATCTTATTTACGTCAACGCAGTTTAGAATTGATCAGTACCAAATGGCCAATACAACTACACATCTATACAGATGGGTCAAAGGTTCCAAATTTCGGAATAAGTTCTGCTTCTTTTTATGTACCAGCATTCTCCTTTCAACAAGCCAAACGATTGGCGGATCACACATCATCTTTCAGAGCCGAATTGGCTGCAATTGTCCTTGCGCTTAATTGGCTAGAGAACATTAATGTGTATGTTGGCATTGTTATTTTTTGTGATTCCGTAAGCGCCCTGCTTGCCATAAAGGATGAAAAAGATATTACATTTGTAACTGAAATTATTACATTAAGTACAAAATTATCGTATCAAGGAAAACACATACACTTAGAATGGATTCCTAGCCATTGTGGTGTACACGGAAATGAAACTGCTTTACAAAATAACATTGAAATTTGTAATAAATTATCCTTTTCTGAAATAAAGAGTATTATTACCAGCAAGTATATAAAACTCTGGCAAGACAGATGGAATAATTCTGATAGTTCTCTTAGACATATACTGCCTACAGTAAATCAACCATATGAATGTAAGTTGAACAGATTTGAAGAAATTATTCTCCATAGATTAAGAATAGGAGTGATAGGTTTGAACTTAGATCTCTTCAGATTGAATATACACTCGACAGGCCTTGGCAATAACTGCATAGGACGTACTGAAACTGTAAACCACTTTCTCACTGAATGCCCAAAGTACATAATAGAAAGAGCTATGTTACTCGTAGAAACTGATTTATCACATCCACAGGAAATCATGACACTACTTAAACTGTCAGAAATAGTTAAACAAAAAGCAATAGTTCGCTTCGTTTTAAGAATAAAGCGGCTGTATCAAAACCATTAAATTGTTGATGATGTTTTTTTTTTTTTTTTTTCTTCGTATCTTCTTTTTTCCTTTTTCTTGCACCAATAAAGCCCACAATACTTGTAACTAATTTGACCATTTACATTTTCTAACAATTCGGTGATCACCTCCAACATCACATGCTAGCTGGCACCCCCTCACCTATGCTGAAGTGACCTAGGTTAAAACCGAAAGTCTGCGAAATATACCTCAAAGACTGGTAAGATGGCATTTTGAAAAGGGTGGGGGTAAGTGCGAAGTACACATGTGCATACGTGAGGTGATATTTGAATGCGCATGTGCGCGTAAACACAAGTACGTACGTTTAGTTTTAGTTTATAGGCGTTTGTCATTCACAACTTGCTAGGCCGTCGTCTCTTTCCAAAATTATTAATTTATTGAATTTTCTCTAAAAAAAAAATTATAGGGTCTAAAAAGAAAAAAAAGAGGAAGGAAAGAGGATGGAAAGAGAAAGAATCCAAAAAATAGTCATTTATGACATGAAATTGTACATATGTATATATATAAATAATTCAATAAATAGTGTGTGGCAAAAATAGTCAACTGTGACTGATTGCCAAACAAAAAAAAAATCAAGAAGAAGAAGAATATAGCTCCTAAGTCGATTTGACAACTAATAGTCGTTATTTTCCCTTAAAGGCATTTTCAAGCCCAATTTTTTTTAAGGGGAGTTCTAAATTAGTATTATCTTTCAAATGCCATTGGAATTTAACCTTTTCATTTTTTTGGCCTGCAAACGGGACATAGTACCTTTAAGGTGAAATATGATGTAGCTATGGAAATTCAGGGTTGGCCGGTAAATACCTGAGCAGGGATTGCAAGGTAGTAAATGCCAAGCAAATTTTGACAAAAACAATAGTGAAAAATAAAAATGAAATAACTTGCGCAGAAGTCCATGTAAAGTGCTGATTATTCCAAAATGATATTGCCTGTAACAGATTAAAGACAAATTTATAAAAAATTGTAAACATTGTGCCACTTTGGCAATACCTTTGAAAAAGATTTGTTGATCAAGTCTGCACAAGTTTTTCCAATAATATTGTTGTTGCTTTGCTGTCTCTTGTAACAATTTATTTCTTTCCAACAGAACCTCATATTGGTCACCTCTACTCTGCATGCTTGGCGGATGCTGCTCACAGATGGCAAAGGATTCTGAAAGCTCCTGACTCCATCTTTGCAACAGGAACTGATGAGCATGGTCTTAAAGTCCAGAAAGCTGCAAGGACGGCTGGAAAGGAGCCCCTCACATTTTGCAATGAGGTTTCTCATGAATTTAGAGTAAGGGGGAAATTATATTCTTCATAATTCCAAAGATATGTCATATGTTTAGACCCAGAAGAGCATTAACTCTTTTTTTTAAAGTATGTGAGTTAACTAAGCCTGAGTCATTATGGTTTTTGTGCTAAACGTTTAACCGTTAAAAGTATACTAGTTGTTCCGTTTAACCGTTATGAAAATACATGAATTTGTAGTAGTGCTGTAGCTGGAACACCTGTTGGTCTTCAGCCCGTCGGGCTGAGCATCACAAACTGGGTCAACCCAGTAAACAGAGACCATAACAAACAACATAAAAATGTCTTATTATTCCTCATCTGATATCATGATAAGCCTAGCAAAGTTACCTTAAACGATTGAGGTCAAGTCGATGTGAAGATTGCTTGATCTGTGATGTGTTTATATATATATATGCCTCTGCAATCATGTTTGCATGTATCATTGCTGTATGAATGTGGATGTGTGTACCGGTAATCACACCAAAGAGATACCAGCTTGTGTATCCTCCTTGATCACACACACCCAAGACACACCCAGCAATGAGCTGATCAATGTTAGTGACCAATCAGGAAGCATCTCTAGCTAAGTGGGTGGAGTTTAATAACAGCATAAATTACAGGTTGGTGACCGAACGTCCATGGAGTCATGGACCCAGTTCAGTGCGAGGTCAAAAAGCCACGTGTTCGCCATATGTGTGTGTGTATGATGAAAGTTTGTACAGTGTATTTGGGCGCCGATGTTTGAGGTGGATTGCGTGTACGTATGTGTGTGACAGAGAAAGAGCATGCATGGACCATGGAGAGAGTGAAGAAGTAAGACAAGTGAGATAGAACATGAGAAAGGGTGGCTGTGAATTGAAGAATGATCAAAAACTTAAATTACTCACATTGTCCAAGACTTTGTTGATTTGTTGATTAATATTTCTAAAAATGCAATTATTATTGTTATCATTATTTTTGTATTTTATTTATATATACATGTATAAACATTATTTTAAGGGGGGCCGAGTCGGCAAGGGATTGATATTTATATTTATATTGATATTGATATTGAGAGAGAGAGAGAGAGAGACTCGGGGAGAAGGGGAGTGAGAGGAACTGACTGCCTGAAAGTGCAACAATAAGAAAAGGTACATGAGCGATATCACAGAGAGAAGGGAAATAAAGAGGGTAAGAGAGAAGGGGGTATGGTTGGTTACAAATTCATTCATAGAGATTACTGCTGCCAGATAACTGGCGCCCAGCTGCCAGGGTGTAACATTACATTGTGGTTTCTTTGATTATCTTTATCATCGGCTATTAGCACATTCCAAAATGTAAACAAATAATGGTTAAACAGAGCGAGAAATGCCAAGCGGTTTTGATGAATGCGGTCGGATAACCGTCGGTTAAACGGTTTGACTCAGGCCTAAGCCTAGAGTTAACACCTTTGTGGCACCAAACAGGTGATATGATGGAGAAGTTAATTGATAAACATACTTTGTGAGAAGTACATCAAACAGAATGAAGTCCTCTCCACTTTAAAGTAAACACACGAAGAATCAAAAGTGTTTTGAATTGAAAGTACAAAATGACATTTTAATAGAAATGGACAAGGGGAAAGTTACTGCATTAGTTCTGTTAGATCTCAGCTGCGCCTTCGATACTGTTGACCACAATATCTTAATCGACAGACTAAAACAGGTTGGCATTGGTGGAACATGTCTTCATTGGTTTCGTTCCTACCTTTCAAATCGATCTCAAGCAGTTAACCTTCATTATACAACTTCATCGGTTGTTAATCTTCTGTTTTCTGTGCCCCAAGGATCTGTTTTAGGTCCCCATCTATTTAATGTATATACCTTACCACTTCATGAGATAATCAGTAAACACAATATAAGCTATCATATGTATGCAGACGATCTACAATTATATTTTTCGTGTCTTCCTATTCAGGAACAGATAGAAAAACGTGATGAAGATCTTGAAAGTTGTATTCGTGATGTACGAAAATGGATGAATGATTGCTATCTCAAACTAAATGACGATAAAAACAGAATTTCTCTTGTTAGGCTCCAGACAACAACTTTCCAAGATTGTTATAACTCATATACGTGTTGGTTCTGTGCACATTGCTCCTTCAGATAAGGCAAGAAATCTTGGTCTCATTTTCGATACAAGCATGTCTCTTGATGCACATATTTCAAAATGTGTGAAAGCTGCCAATTATCATCTTCGTAATCTTCGCGCTATAAGGAAATTTTTAACCCCCCAAACCACTCAACAATTGATTCATGCTTTTGTAACATCTCATCTCGATAACTGTAACTCTCTCCTTTATGGACTTCCTAAATACCAAATTCAGAGACTACAAAAGGTTCAAAACGCAGCTGCCCGCCTTGTCACTAAATCCAAACGTTCGACCCATACTACTCAAATACTTAAGAACCTTCACTGGCTTCCAATAGAACAGCGTATCAAATATAAAATTCTACTACTCACCTACCGTTCACTAAATGGATCAGTCCCTGAATATATTTCCTCTCTTCTTAATATCTCTTTAAGTTCCCGTGCAGGTCTTCGTTCCTCTAATTCAACAAATTTAACACAGTTAAGAACAAAGAGGAGTTGGGGAGACAGAGCTTTTACAGCTGCTGCACCCCGGTTATAGAACTCCCTACCCCATTCAATCAAAATGTCAGCCAATCAAAATTTGTTCCAAACAAAATTGAAAACCTATCTAATGTCTGAACTCCTTAGTTAAGACGTAGTGCATTCACAATCTGATGTAATTAACGTTGTTGAATTATATTTAATTATGTTAAATTATTTTCGTTCAATGTACTTACCTCGTTAGGCGCCTTGAGCATCTCTTGGGGTGGATATGTGCGCATTATAAATGTTGTTATTATTATTATTATGATGCAAAACTCATATCATTGCGAAGGGGAAGCCTTACTGATCAAATACAACAACTCTCCTCTCCAAAATATGTTTCGGGCCCGCAGTAATCAACTCTCAAAAATGTTAGTTTTGAGATCCAGATTTTCGGCCTTCAGCGGTCCTTTGTAGAGCGTCAATATTTGTGACGTCACACACGGGACACGGCTGGCTAGCTGCAGACTAATACATGCACGACTCCTGTATGCGGCCGGTACTGAGCTGTTTGTCCAGTGTGTGACGTCACTATTCAAAGCTCGCTACGCTTGTGTGTTTGGCTTACGTTCAGGGGCGTTCGGGGGTCTAAAAAGGGTCTTGAAAAATTGCATTTTACACCTTTCCATGATATCTATATGATTTCTCAGCAAATTATTCGTGTTTTTCAAGAGAATATCTTTCCATCCATATGTAATTTGTTCTAATTATCAGTTGTAGTGAATTTTCTTTGCGATGCTCCTTTAAGAGTTCAATTAAAAAAAATTCTTTCACGAGCTGTGATAACTATTGAAGTATATAGCGTATATAAATCTAATTGTATAAAAATTTCAAAATAATTAATAGAAATATTAATATCATCCAGGCCAGGCGCGTAGCACGGGGGGGGGGGGGGGGGGGGGGGGGGGGGGGGGGGCAGTGGGGGCAGTCCCCCCCCCCCAAAAAAAAAATGCCAGCCAAAAAAAAAAAGAGAGAGAGAAAGAAGAAAGGAAGAGGACGTAGGAAGAAAAAGGATTAAGAGTCGAGAACGGTACAACGAATCGTCTTCTTTCTCTAATAATTTAATGAAACATCAAGGCTTCGCGCGGGAGGGGCGGGGGGGAACTGAATTCAGACAATGATTAAGAGTCGAGAATGGTACAACGAATCGTCTTCTTTCTTGAATAATTTAATGAAACATCAAGGCTATGCGCGGAGGAAGGGGAACTTGATTCAAACAAGGATAAGAGTCGAGAACGGTATGACGAATCGTCTTCTAATAATTTAATGAAACGTCAATAGAAACTGAATTTAGACAAGGATTAAAAGTCAAGAACGGTACAACGAATCGCCTTCTTTCTCTAGTAATCTAATGAAACGTCAAAGCTATGCGCGGAGGGAGGGGAACTTGATTCAAACAAGGATAAGAGTCGAGAACGGTACAACGAATCGTCTTCTAATAATTTAATGAAACGTCAATAGAAACTGAATTTAGACAAGGATTAAAAGTCAAGAACGGTACAACGAATCGCCTTCTTTCTCTAGTAATCTAATGAAACGTCAAAGCTTTCGCGCGGTAGGAGGGGAAACTCCCCCTCCCTGCACCCACCCCCTAGGGAGCGCGCTCTGTATGAGATTCGCACGTTTTGCGTGCTCAATACCGCCCCCCCTAAAATACAATCGTGGCTACTCGCTTGGTATCATCTAATCACCCAATGTCCAATGTCTGATGGATATAGCAAATAAATGATAATCATAATTATATTGATTTGTCACATATGGTAAGATTCCATTACGCAGATGTATCACATACCGTAATTTCTATTTTTTAAATTATTTTTTGGGGGCCGACTCTGTCGGTAGCAGGCCAGGTCCGTGTTAAAAAAATCCACGCGGGAATGCCTTTCATTTAACTGCGAGGTGCAGCTGAATGTGTAAGATCATTAATGTAAATTAAAAAACAATAGAGGACCTCGGATAGAACCTTGTAATAGAAAAAAAATTGGAGGAATTATTATTATAAACTACATATTTGAGTGTTGTTCTAGTTTCCAAGTGGTGAGTCAACACATTGCCAGGCATAGCGCCAGGAGGAGGGGCATAAATCAAAACTTAAAAAAAAAAATCGGCGGCAAGAAAGTGTGGTTAATACACCGTTAATTACGGTAGTCAATTTAAGATCTTGACTTTTGTGTAGTTTTGAAATACATACATTTCAATTTGATGAAGTTTTAAAAGCTGTTTTAATGACTTAGTGCATGATTTAAAGTTACTATGTCCCATTTGCAAACCAAAAAAATGAAAAGGTTAAATTATAAAGGCATTTAAAAGACAATACTAATTTAGAACTTCCCTAAAAAAAAATGGGGCCTGAAAATTTCTTTAAGTGGGAAAATAACGACTATAAGTGGTCAAATTGACTTAGGAGCTACAGAGCCAATAAGTAATAGTCTGATTTTTCAGACCATTGTACTGAATGGTTGTACGTTTTATGCTGCGCAAAGATTCAATCAGTTTAATTTTGGCCATCACAAGAAGTGGGTTATTGATGTAGACAAATGCTCATGTACCCTTTACAGCTCATTTTATGTATGTTATTACCAAAGATGAAAAAAGCCAGTCAGTCACTCAATAGTGTCTGACAGTGAAGTCTAGCAAGTAAACCGGTTTCCTTGCATACTTTGAATATTAGGACAGTGCTAACATTTAAATTTCACAGATAGGACATATTTGACATATTCATAATTCCTGCAAATTTCTACAGAATTTGATGTTGGCTGCAAAAGGGACATAGTATCTTTAAGAAATAAGTGATATTCATATTGATATTAAATATACTGGAATAATTAACACGTCCCATTTTAAACATTTTTGTATTCTATTTTTTTTATGCAGAGACTGTTTGAAATGTGCAATATTGGCTACACTGATTTCATTCGTACCACCGAAGAAAGGCATCATACTGCAGTTCATGAATTTTGGGTGAGTGATTGAACGATATGACCAGGATAATCATATATCTGTAAAGCACTTAAAGACACTTTTATATAAGAACTATATAAAACCTTTGTAGAGTTTACTAGTTTTAGAGAGGAAGTTGCCTTCTGTTTTCTGTAGTGTTACCTTGTACAATTCAATTTGAGAGTAATATATCTACATTTCGTTATTTTAGTTGTTTACTACAATTAGGATGCGTGTTTGACTTTGGACTTTGGAACAATGTTTTGTTTTATTGTAACGTTCTTACCTATAAATTGAATTTAAAAATGTTTTCAGCTGTTCTCAGTTGGGAAAGTACTTTCATATTTCTAAGATTTAACCTACACCTTTACCACAAAAAACAGGCCCTTAAAGTTCTCCCCCCCCCCCTTCCATTAACCTATTGGCAGGGAACTTTGTGGGTATGACTTCTTCAGTAGTCATTGGGTTAAAAAAATAAACTTGCCTGCTTGTGTAGGCAAGTATGATATGATCTTCAGGCTTTTATACTTAGCACAGTTTAATGGAACAAAAAGATGCGTCCAGAACTTAAAATCCTTAATTGTTGAAAATCATATGGAGCTGGTAAATGCATGTACTATTGTGATTAGGCTTAATGTTACCTAATTTTTCATTTAGATATGTGAAGAAGAAATAAAATTTAGTTAACAAATGTCACTAATTATTATGCCTTTTGCATTCCAGATGCGTCTTTTTGTGCCACTATACTTTGCTAAGCTACCCAAGTCATAAAGTCCATATGCTCCAAGTTTCAAAAGAAACGCATCATGCCATGAATTGCTTTTCACATAAGTATGTGAATTTGCCTCTGTGTATCATATCTTGGTTTGAACATAGACGTAATACGTCTATGGTTTGAATAGTTGGGCAAGACAAGCTATTGTGTAAGCTATGTGTTTCTTCTTTCCCTTGTCATTATTTTCTCTGCAGACCTCACTGAGAGAGAAAGGTTTCATCTATAAAGGGGAGTATGAGGGATGGTATTCTGTGACAGATGAAAGCTTCTTAACTACCTCTCAAATACAGGAGATAGATAGAGGGGATGGTACAACAATAAAGGTATGCAATTCAATCCATAGGTTTTCTCTCTTTAAGGTCAAAGGTCATGGACATTTTAATGTTTGATTCAAGACAGATATATTTGTGAATTACTAGTCATTTTAGCTGAAAGTCACGTGATTGCAATGTGGAAGAAACTGTCTAAAAGTAATTGTGGCAGTATTTGGTTTACTTGATGTTGTAGTAAATCAATATAATATTGTATTGTATTGTATTAAATGAGATTTTAGAAACATCAAAATGTTCAGAGCTATTTAGCCCTGCTGCAATGTACGTGTATACAATTTACTTCTTGTAGCTATTACACATTTGGCACCACATACATGTACATGTATGGTCCAAAGTTTGTTTGAACTACTAGCCATAAAATGGGAGGTTCTTTTAAGAGCAAGCCTTTATAACCTGTCATTGGTAACGTGATGTTCTTCCACATACAGTAGGGATATTAAAGGAAGAAAAAGCTAATGTTTATATTTGTTTCAATTTTAATTGAACTCAACCTTCTTTGTTGTTCGTTTCAGAAGATATAAATATCTGTCACTTTACTATTTACATGTTTATGTTTGGTAATTTCATATTCCTTTGTAATGGAATACTATTTATGAATTAGAAGTATCTTGTTTTTCAGGTATCTTTAGAAAGTGGGAATGTTGTAGAGTGGACAAGCGAGACCAACTACATGTTTAGACTCAGTGCCTTCCGGGATAAGCTTCTAAGATGGCTGGATGATAATCCCAGTGGTAAATATTTCATATCTTTTCAAATTAAATTTTAACATTAATAAAAGTACATTCAAACCTGTCTGTTAAGGTCACCCAAGGGAACAGTTGTTTTTTCTTGAGGGAGATGAAATACATGGCCACTATACACAGGTGGCCTTTATGGAGAGGTGGTTTTGTATGACAGGTTTGACTTTTCAATTGGTTTGAGTATCCATGAATATATAAAGGAATGTAGGAGAATGGAGACAGAGGATTGAGCTAACCAACCTTTGCTGAAGGGGAAATGGACTAGAAGTAGTGTAGAAAATTGTTTTAACAAGTATAAAGTGAAAATCATCTACATATACTATTTTAAAGTCAGATCTTATTTTCATATCAACAATACTATCTAAGTGTGTGTGTGTGTGAGTGTGTGTGTATATGAGACACATATGGAAAATGTAATATTTAAATTTACTGTTTTTTAATTTCAAGTAGAATTAAAAAAGAAGAAGTTAGAATGAAATACTTGAAAAATCATACTTGACAGTTTGTTAGTTAATGCGTTTTATTTTTCAAATTAGATTTTTACAAAATGCATGGAGGTAAAAAGACTGTAAATGTCAGCGAATGTCATGTTTTAATAGTTGTTTCATTTTGTGTTATACACTTTGGTTTGATTTTGTGAATTGGATATTTAACGTTCAACTTTTATGGACTATCTATGAATGTATTATTTTTTGGTCGTTATGGTCAATGCTGCAATGCTAATTTGTGTATTCATTGTCACCCTAGTTAAGGATTGTAAAAGTTAATGAAATCTCCATTTCTTTATGATTCTTTATGAATGTCAGGTTTTTTCATTAGGCTGACATGAATATCTGTTGTTTCGTTTTAGCTGTGCAGCCTGCTAAGTTTCATAGCATTGTGAGACACTGGTTAAATGAAGGCATTCAGGATCTATCTGTCTCTAGGCAGAGAGATCGTCTAGGTTGGGGTATACCGGTCCCAGATGATCCTTCACAGACAGTAAGTACAGCTAGAGGAAAAACAATATTCTGAGAGCCTGTTAACGGATTACTATCATCATCACTTTCGACTCCGCGCAATCGAAGTTCCATCAAGTTAAAATCTAATCCAGCGCTAAATCATGGATATTGCAAGAATTGAAAGGCTCTAATATGGGATACCATCGAAGCAAAAGCTGGAACATCGCATGTGGAGAAAAGTATACATGTGTTTTGTTGATGGTTTTCATGACCATATTACAAACTTTAATGTCTTTGTGTATTATCTGGGTTTTTTTTTTGCTAGTTGAGATTAATGCCTTACAAGGGTAAATCTCATGTTGCTGCTTTATGTCTGAACAGGCCTTTACATGTAACTATCTGAAACGGTTGCATGTATTGCTATTACACAGTAATTCCAAGGGAAGATATTTTATACTCTGTTCAACAATGAAAGCTAGCATGATAACTGAATAACTGATAACATGATAACATGATAACATGATAACTGTTGATAACATGATAACTGTTGAAAGTCCTTTATGATGAGTGTTCAACACCTCAGAAGTTACTCAGAAGAGATTCAGAGAATAGATTAAAAATGAATTCTTTTTGTATGATTGATTTGCTTGCAGATCTATGTATGGATGGATGCTTTAGTGAACTATTTAACAGTGAGTGGTTATCCAGACAGGACACATCTTTGGCCACCTACCCACATTGTGGGCAAAGACATCCTCAAGTAAGTCTCTGCTCAAGCTGAGGCTCTAGGAATAGGGCTTGAAATCAGGTCAAACTCTCTGCAGCAAATCATTCTTACCATGAATGAAATCTGATATGACTCTATAAAGGCAAATTTTAACTATATGAATGTATTATGAAGATTCCATGGTCCTGAAACATTACAAACATATACAGTAAATATACTTGTTTACTGTATATGTTTTTAAAGTTTCGACACCATAGTGCTAATTGTATTACCCTGATGTAAAGAGCAAGTCTACTCCAAAAATAACTTACTTTCAATAGAAGCAGAAAAATCAGACAAACCAATCAAAAAAAGTTTGAGCAAAATTTGATTACTATTAAGAAAGTTATGAACATTTTAATAGCATGAAAAAATTTGAAAATCACAAGACAAATTGGCAACTCACACATGAGTCTGTAACATCGTTGCCTCACTATCCACTTATTGTTTTCTTTATATTGATAAATATAAATTTCCAATTTTCCCCCTAAAAAAATTATTTCCTCACACCAGGATCCACTAGTTATTGATAGTCATATGTCTTTGTGTGGATGCACTAATATAGAGTAATTTTTTTCAGTTAAATCATGAAAAATGTGAATTTTGATAAAGTAGTATCAATTCTTCAAAGTTTATAAAAGATTTTGTGAAATTTCATGCACGCAATATGATACAAATCACTCAACCTGGGCAGAGGCATGGGGAAATAAAGTTTTGGGAATAAAAAGGCAAAGCAATGGAATAAACAAAATATAAAGCAATTGATAAATAGTGAGGCAATGATGTCACAAACCGATAACCAAATTGGCAATTGTGTCGTGATTTTCTAAGTTGCATAGTTTTTCATACTTAAAAAAAAATTCATAACTTTCCATTAGTTATCCGTTTTTTACTCAAATTTGTTTTGCTCTGTTTCTTAGGTTTTTCTGCATCTAATAAAAGCAAACTATTTTTGGAGTGGACTTAATAAATATATACCTGGATGAGAATCATGAAGCAATCATTTAGGCAATGGTTTTGAAAGAAAATCGGAGTAGGACATTGGCTTATTTGCTTTTGCGATTCCCTGCACCTCCACTAGGAAAAGCAAACTTTTTCTCCAATACATACATGTACATTTATCAGATACTATATAGTGATTGTATTTATTTTCTGTGCAGAGATTTCTTCAACATAAACATGTAAACAAATGACAGACCCCCCCCCCCCCCCGAAAGAAAAAAAATGTCTGACATGAACAAAAATACATGTAATATTACATGCTTTTATAACACATAATAACAGTAATTTTACCATCGTTTTGTTTGAAGATTCCATGCTATTTACTGGCCTGCCTTCCTTATGGCTGCAGATATTTCTCCACCAGCAAGTGTCATCTGTCATTCACATTGGACTCGTGATAGCTTTAAGGTTAGTGTGGGGATGAAAGTATGAATGAATGAATGGATGGATTGATGGACGGATTGATGGGTGGATTTAAGGATAATTAAATGAATGGTGGATAGATGGAGGACTGCAGAGATATCTCCCCCAGCAATTACCATCTGTTATTCACATTGGTGAGTGGATAGAAAGGGATGAATGAGGAATGAATGGATAAATGAATGGATAAATGAATGAATAGGTGGATATAGTGATGAATGAATTGATAGATGAATTTGAAGATGGTTTATTGAAAGAGGAATTCAAATAATGAAGAGTGAAGGAAATGCAATGGATCCTTTTGACATTTCAGGGATTGATGCACAGATAGATGGATAAAAGTGTAATTGGAGAGATGGAAGGACAGATGTACAGATTAATTGATAGATGGATGGATACAGTAGATAGATAGGTGGATGAATGAATGGCTAAGTAGGTGGATACATGGATGAATGAATGGCTGAGTAGATGGATAGGTGGATGAATGAATGGCTGAGTAGATGGATGGATGGATGAATGAATGGCTGAGTAGATGGATGGATGGATGAATGAATGGCTGAGTAGATGGATGGATGGATGAATGAATGGCTGAGTAGCTGGATGGATGATTGAATGAATGGCTGAGTAGATGGATGGATGGATGAATGAATAGCTGAGTAGGTGTATGGATGGATGAATGAATGGCTGAATAGGTGTATGGATGGATGAATGAATGGTTGAGTAGATGGATGGATGGATGAATGAATGGATAGTAGATGGATGGATGGATGAATGAATGCTGAGTAGATGGATATGTGGATGAATGAATGGCTGAGTAGATGGATGGATGGATGAATGAATTGCTGAGTAGATGGATATGTGGACGAATGAATGGATGAGTAGATGGATGGATGGGTGAATGAATGGCTGAGTAGATGGATGGATGGATGAATGAATGGCTGAGTAGCTGGATGGATGGATGAATGAATGAATGGCTGAGTAGATGGATGGATGGATGAATGAATGGCTGAGTAGCTGGATAGATGGATGAATGAATGGCTAAGTAGATGGATGGATGGATGAATGAATGGCTGAGTAGCTGGATGGATGGATGAATGAATGGCTGAGTAGATGGATGGATGGATGAATGAATGGCTGAGTAGATGGATTGATGGATGAATGAATGGCTGAGTAGATAGATGGATGGATGAATGAATGGCTGAGTAGATGGATGGATGGATGATTGAATGGCTGAGTAGATGGATGGATGGATGAATGAATGGCTGAGTAGATAGATGGATGGATGGATGAATGGCTGAAAAGATGGATGGATGGATGAATGAATGGCTGAGTAGATGGATGGATGGATGAATGAATGGCTGAGTAGATGGATTGATGGATGAATGAATGGCTGAGTAGATAGATGGATGGATGAATGAATGGCTGAGTAGATGGATGGATGGATGATTGAATGGCTGAGTAGATGGATGGATGGATGAATGAATGGCTGAGTAGATAGATGGATGGATGGATGAATGGCTGAAAAGATGGATGGATGGATGAATGAATGGCTGAGTAGATGGATGGATGGATGAATGAATGAATGGTTGAGTAGATGGATGGATGGATGAATGAATGGCTGAGTAGATGGATTGATGGCTGAATGAATGGCTGAGTAGATAGATGGATGGATGAATGAATGGCTGAGTAGATGGATGGATGGATGATTGAATGGCTGAGTAGATGGATGGATGGATGAATGAATGGCTGAGTAGATAGATGGATGGATGGATGAATGGCTGAAAAGATGGATGGATGGATGAATGAATGGCTGAGTAGATGGATGGATGGATGAATGAATGAATGGTTGAGTAGATGGATGGATGGATGAATGAATGGCTGAGTAGGTGGATGGATGGATGAATGAATGGATGGTAGATGGATAGGTGGATGAATGAATGGCTGAATAGGTGTATGGATGGATTAATGAATGGCTGAGTAGATGGATGGATGGATGAATGAATGGTTGAGTAGATGGATGGATGGATGAATGAATGGTTGAGTAGATGGATGGATGGATGAATGAATGGTTGAGTAGGTGGATGGATGGATGAATGAATGGTTGAGTAGATGGATGGATGGATGAATGAATGGTTGAGTAGATGGATGGATGGATGAATGAATGGTTGAGTAGATGGATGGATGGATGGATGAATGGCTGAGTAGATGGATGGATGGGTGAATGAATGGCTGAGTAGATGGATGGATGGGTGAATGAATGGCTGAGTAGATGGATGGATGGATGAATAAATGGATGAGTAGATGGATGGATGGATGATTGAATGGATGGTAGATGGATGGATGGATGAATGAATGGTTGAGTAGATGGATGGATGGATGAATGAATGGCTGAGTAGATGGATGGATGGATGAATGAATGGCTGAGTAGATGGATGGATGAATGAATGGCTGAGTAGATGGATGGGTGGATGAAGGAATGGTTAAGTAGATGGATATGTGGATGAATGAATGGCTGAGTAGGTGTATGGATGGATGAATAAATGGCTGAGTAGGTGGGTGGATGGATGAATGAATGGCTGAGTAGGTGTATGGATGGATGAATGAATGGCTGAGTAGATGGATAGGTGAATAAATGGCTGAGTAGATGGATGGATGGATGAATGAATGGCTGAGTAGGTGTATGGATGGATGAATGAATGGCTGAGTAGATGGATGGATGGATGAATGAATGGCTGAGTAGGTGTATGGATGGATGAATAAATGGCTGAGTAGATGAATGGATGGATGAATGAATGGCTGAGTAGATGGATGGATGGATGAATGAATGGCTGAGTAGATGGATGGATGGATGAATGATTGGCTGAGTAGATGGATAGGTGGATGAATGAATGGCTGAGTAGATGGATGGATGAATGAATGGTTGAGAATGGTTGAGTAGATGGATGGATGGTGAATGAATTGATGGTAGATGGATGGATTGATGAATGAATGGCTGAGTAGATTGATGGATGGATGAATGAATAGCTGAGTAGGTGTATGGATGGATGAATGAATGGCTGAATAGGTGTATGGATGGATGAATGAATGGTTGAGTAGATGGATGGATGGATGAATGAATGGATAGTAGATGGATGGATGGATGAATGAATTGCTGAGTAGATGGATATGTGGATGAATGAATGGCTGAGTAGATGGATGGATGGATGAATGAATTGCTGAGTAGATGGATATGTGGACGAATGAATGGATGAGTAGATGGATGGATGGGTGAATGAATGGCTGAGTAGATGGATGGATGGATGAATGAATGGCTGAGTAGCTGGATGGATGGATGAATGAATGAATGGCTGAGTAGATGGATGGATGGATGAATGAATGGCTGAGTAGCTGGATAGATGGATGAATGAATGGCTAAGTAGATGGATGGATGGATGAATGAATGGCTGAGTAGCTGGATGGATGGATGAATGAATGGCTGAGTAGATGGATGGATGGATGAATGAATGGCTGAGTAGATGGATTGATGGATGAATGAATGGCTGAGTAGATAGATGGATGGATGAATGAATGGCTGAGTAGATGGATGGATGGATGATTGAATGGCTGAGTAGATGGATGGATGGATGAATGAATGGCTGAGTAGATAGATGGATGGATGGATGAATGGCTGAAAAGATGGATGGATGGATGAATGAATGGCTGAGTAGATGGATGGATGGATGAATGAATGGCTGAGTAGATGGATTGATGGATGAATGAATGGCTGAGTAGATAGATGGATGGATGAATGAATGGCTGAGTAGATGGATGGATGGATGATTGAATGGCTGAGTAGATGGATGGATGGATGAATGAATGGCTGAGTAGATAGATGGATGGATGGATGAATGGCTGAAAAGATGGATGGATGGATGAATGAATGGCTGAGTAGATGGATGGATGGATGAATGAATGAATGGTTGAGTAGATGGATGGATGGATGAATGAATGGCTGAGTAGATGGATTGATGGATGAATGAATGGCTGAGTAGATAGATGGATGGATGAATGAATGGCTGAGTAGATGGATGGATGGATGATTGAATGGCTGAGTAGATGGATGGATGGATGAATGAATGGCTGAGTAGATAGATGGATGGATGGATGAATGGCTGAAAAGATGGATGGATGGATGAATGAATGGCTGAGTAGATGGATGGATGGATGAATGAATGAATGGTTGAGTAGATGGATGGATGGATGAATGAATGGCTGAGTAGGTGGATGGATGGATGAATGAATGGATGGTAGATGGATAGGTGGATGAATGAATGGCTGAATAGGTGTATGGATGGATTAATGAATGGCTGAGTAGATGGATGGATGGATGAATGAATGGTTGAGTAGATGGATGGATGGATGAATGAATGGTTGAGTAGATGGATGGATGGATGAATGAATGGTTGAGTAGGTGGATGGATGGATGAATGAATGGTTGAGTAGATGGATGGATGGATGAATGAATGGTTGAGTAGATGGATGGATGGATGAATGAATGGTTGAGTAGATGGATGGATGGATGGATGAATGGCTGAGTAGATGGATGGATGGGTGAATGAATGGCTGAGTAGATGGATGGATGGGTGAATGAATGGCTGAGTAGATGGATGGATGGATGAATAAATGGATGAGTAGATGGATGGATGGATGATTGAATGGATGGTAGATGGATGGATGGATGAATGAATGGTTGAGTAGATGGATGGATGGATGAATGAATGGCTGAGTAGATGGATGGATGGATGAATGAATGGCTGAGTAGATGGATGGATGAATGAATGGCTGAGTAGATGGATGGGTGGATGAAGGAATGGTTAAGTAGATGGATATGTGGATGAATGAATGGCTGAGTAGGTGTATGGATGGATGAATAAATGGCTGAGTAGGTGGGTGGATGGATGAATGAATGGCTGAGTAGGTGTATGGATGGATGAATGAATGGCTGAGTAGATGGATAGGTGAATAAATGGCTGAGTAGATGGATGGATGGATGAATGAATGGCTGAGTAGGTGTATGGATGGATGAATGAATGGCTGAGTAGATGGATGGATGGATGAATGAATGGCTGAGTAGGTGTATGGATGGATGAATAAATGGCTGAGTAGATGAATGGATGGATGAATGAATGGCTGAGTAGATGGATGGATGGATGGATGAATGGCTGAGTAGATGGATGGATGGATGAATGATTGGCTGAGTAGATGGATAGGTGGATGAATGAATGGCTGAGTAGATGGATGGATGAATGAATGGTTGAGAATGGTTGAGTAGATGGATGGATGGTGAATGAATTGATGGTAGATGGATGGATTGATGAATGAATGGCTGAGTAGATTGATGGATGGATGGATGGATGGTAGATGGATGGATTGATGAATGAATGGATGGTAGATGGATAGGTGGATGAATGAATGGCTGAGTAGATGGATGGATGGATGAATGAATGGTTGAGTAGATGGATGTATGGATGAATGAATGGATGGTAGATGGATGGATTGATGAATGAATGGCTGAGTAGATGGATGGATGGATGGATGGATGGATGAATGAATGGTTGAGTAGATGGATGGATGGATGAATGAATGGCTGAGTAGATGGATGGATGGATGAATGAATGGTTGAGTAGATGGATGGATGGATTAATGAATGGTTGAGTAGATGGATATGTGGATGAATGAATGGTTTAGTATGTGTATGGATGGATGAATGAATGGCTGAGTATGTGTATGGATGGATGAATGAATGGCTGAGTAGATGGATGGATGATAGATAGATAGATAGATAGATAGATAGATAGATAAATGGTATTTATTGATTCATTTCCATGTATCGTAGTTACAAGTAACTGAATTGTGCATGAATAAAACATTGATGGTGAAGACAATCATACATTTCAAATGATATCACAGTAAAAAGTAACTGAATTGCACATGAGTAAATTGCTGGAAAAAGCAAGTATACATTTCAAGATGTCACACTACAATCTACATAATTATGAAGAGCGTGTATATACTATATACCATTAATCTTATACAATATATCAATTTAAAAATTTGAGTTAAAAAGAAAGAGAGATGGGAAAGCAGGAGAGAGAGAAAGAAAGAGAGAAAGAGAGAAAGAAAGAAAGAGAAAGAGAGAAAGAGAGAGAGAGGGGGGGGGGGGGGAGAAAGGGGACAGATAGACAGAGAGGGAAAACAATTATGTACATGTTGATAAAATACAAAGATACATTGCAAGACAAATATGAATATTATTATAAGGTGAACATTAGAGATATTAAGATATAAATATAGATATGCATCGCATTCTTCATGTCATAAAAAATACATTGACTAACTTGACTAAAAAAATCAGACCTCAAATTTATGAATTAATTATATACTAAGGAATATGAAATTGTAATTTGTTTCAGAGTATATTAAATACAATTATAAAAAACTTTTGTTATACAAACGGATCAAATCTGGGATTGGGCTATTCTGCATACGTTTAGTTTTGCACGTGGGTTCAGGGATCTTGTTAGTTCTTCGCAAAGTTCTATTGTGTGCTCTTTGGGGTATAAATTTTTGAACTGGTCTGTGCATGAAAGAGTTTTTTTTAAAGAAAGTAACACATAAGTCATTTCGATGACTTTCCAATTTTTGTAATTTCGATTTAGTAAGAGCGTTTGCGTAACTATGATAATCCTTTCCAAAGATAATCCTCAATGCACGTTTTTGTAATCTTTCTATGCGTTGTTTTTGTGCACTAGTGAGACCTCCGCTCCAAACTTGAGTAGCATATTCAAGGATTGGGCGAATATAGATCTTCATGTGAAAGACCGAACTTCCCCAAAGCATTCGCTCTTTTTTCAATATCTCTGACATGGGCTTCCCACTTCAAGTCGTTTTTTTATCGTGACAACAAGTAATTTCACCTGTGAAACAGTTAAAAGAACACAATTTTCGAGAATAATGGAAGACTGATTGACTGGTACTCTTGAAAAACAAATGTCCATTTTAATACACTTTGTAGGATTCAATTGCATTTTATTAATATCAGCCCACAAAGATAGACATTCTACAGCTTCTTGCATGTTTGAAATTTGGTTTGTTTTACGACACTCAACTAGGGTTAGATCATCGACATACTTAAACATATGTATACTTTCAGAAGATTTGAAATCATTTATCATCACAAGAAAAATTAGGGGCCCAAGTTTCGTACCCTGGGGCACACCTGCATTTATTTGACACCATTCTGAGAGATCGCTGTGATAGCGAACTCTTTGTTTACGTTCAGAAAAAAAATCAGATATCCAGTAAACTACCGCTGGTCGTACACCGATTTCAATTAACTTTTTGATGGTAACTGTATGATCTATTCTATCAAACGCTTTTTGAAAATCTGTGAGAAGTATCGTCGATGACGTTTTTGGTACCTCACCATTTAAAAAAACATAATGAAGAATATTAATCAAACAGTGTGAGGTCGATAAACATTTCTAGTTTCCAAACTGACAGGGGTCAATATGTTGGGCAATGTCCTGATACATCCACTTTGCGAAGTGGTCTGTTAATGATATAGGTCTGAGTTTGTCAATTCGTGCAGGATTCACCTTTGGGATCGGTACTACAATAGCACATTTCCAGAAGGCCGGAACTTTTCCTTGACTAAAAGAAGCATTAATTATATAGGTTAAAGGTCCCGAGAATTCAACAGAAAAAAGACAGATTAGGCGTGCTGAAATATTATCTGGGCCATTCGCCATCGAGCATTTGATTTTAGAAAGAATTTTATTAACCTGCCAAGGATATACCTCGGGTAAACTTCTAGAAGGTAAGTGTGCAGGTAAAGCTGCTAAATTTAGTGGTTGTAAATCAGAAGAGACAGATATGAGATGTTCGTTTATCGCATTCGCAATTTTATCTCTCTCACTAGGATCAACACCATCAACTGGGATATTGAGTGATTGACGACTTCCCTTTGTGAGGATGCGTATTTCTTGATACCATCGTGAAGGATTACTTTTCTTAAGTTTCTGAATACGTGACCTGTAATATTTAACTTTTGCTTTCTGAATTGATGAATTTACTTTGTTTCTTAAACGTTTCCACAAAATTCCCTTACCGTGATGAAATGCAATTTGTCTCTTATGAATCAGAGATTTAATTTCACCTGTCATCCAGGGCTTATCTCTAAAGTGCAATAATACCTTACGAACTGGAAAATAAATGTTAATTGCATTATTTAAAGTACTATAAAAAGAACCACATCGAACATTTACATCAACATCTTGCGTCACTTATGGCCAATCATAAGAAGATATCCACTGTCCAAACGCCCTTATTGCACTATCTGTCATGGGTCTGTTGAATACATAACGAGTAGTATTTGGTAATTTAGGTTTGATTTTAAGAGGAAACCACATAATTGAATTGATGGATGGATGAATGAATGGCTGAGTAGGTGGATACATGTAGGTGGATGAATGAATGGATGGTAGATGGATGGATGGATGAATGAATGGCTGAGTAGATAGATGGATGGATGAATGAATGGCTGAGTAGATGGATGAATATTGATAGGTTGAAGCGTACATCACATTGGATAGATTAATAGATGGCAATGTACCATTAGTCAAGGGGATGAATGAATGAAGCCCAGAAAATTATTTGTTTGCTCCTTCATCGTTGATTGTACTAGTACAGGATTCAAAATCAAGACTTGGGGCTTTGTTTGTCTCTTCTTTGATATTCCTTTTTATATATTATTATCAAGTTTTGTTTGTTGGTGATTTGATTTCAGATGTCCAAGAGCAAAGGCAATGTAATTGACCCTTTTGATAGAGCAGCACACTTCACTACAGATGGCCTGCGCTACTTCTTGTTGAGAGAGGGAGTGCTTCATTCTGATGGAGGTGAGTGCATACAACATTCATCTGTGTATAATGGGGGCATACTACAAGAGTCCTATCTTGCACCCAAGCCGGGTCCTATCTTGCAATTAACCGGGCGCCGGGCGATTTTTACCCCACGGTCGTCTTTTATTTTTGGCGCCCGGTTTGGGAGAAGTAACATTTCCCATTTCACATGGCCGGCACTAAATATTTACAAATCTGACTATAAAAACTTACTTGATAAATGTTTCAACGTGGACTGAATGAGCCCTAACAAATCATTTTACAATGAGAATCCTAAAATCCTTTCATGATTGCAGAGACCAGCTAGCTGAAAAACAACGCGTGCACATAGCTGGCTTAGGCCACATGCGATATGTATACCATGCTTCTGACTCGTGCAACATATTAGCTGCCTCGCGCGGCTGTCGTCCACACTATAACCAAAGTAAAGGCAGAGATTGTGGAGCGCCGCAGCGGCTGCACGTCTATCATCTTTGCTATAACTAGCAAGGCGGCGGGTGCAGGCGGTGTTGGCAGATAAACGTTCTATTAAGGCTCCACCTCCGCCTCCGCCTTGTTGAATAGAAAGTTAAACTTTCAATTCATGAAAATATTTGCACATATTACCAAGTTGTGTATTCCTTAACTTGCGATATAGAAAAAATTGAAGAAAACAATCATAATGCGAAATATTCCCTACCCCTTCAATTGATCGCCCACCCTGATATAATTATACTGAAAGTTAAAAACTATTGAAGAGTTGCAAAATGAGTAAAAAACGTAATAATTATTGTACTTGAATAGATTAATTTTTACATGATTAAATGGCATGTATGGTAATGGTGACTCTGCCTCATTGAATAAAAAGTTAAACTTTCAATTCATGAAAATATTTGCACGTATTACCAAGTTGTGTATTATAACTTGCGATATAGAAAAACTTGAAGAAAACAATCATAATGCGAAATATTCCCTACCCCTTCAATCGATCGCCCACCCCAATATCATTATACTGAAAGTTTAAAAACGTCCCTAATGAACGGACAGTAATGGCTCAAACTACATCATCCTCACATCTTCCCTTGTCATCATGGCGGAGCACGCGAGTCTCTTCAAATTTGGATTTACTCGTAAGCAGAGAGAGGATAAGCAAGAAAGGGAAAAACCAGGAGATAGACCCAGCACATCAACTCAAATTCAACCATCAGCTCCATCGCAGGAGCAAGTAATCGGATATGCCCCAAAAAAGTAAAAAAGGATGGCCCTCGCTTTGTTAGGGTGCTAAATTTACAGAAGTGGCAGAAACAAACTGGAGATGATGATCCAGGGTTCAAATCCAAACGCCCGGACCTTACCTGGATCAGATATGAAAGTGCTGGTAATGTGGTTTCGAAAGTCTGGTGTCTTTTTTGTAGAAGAAAGCTCGAGATCGTTCGCCAATTCAACGAGGCAGCTGGAATTACGCAAGATGTTGACGCCTATGTTAACGGAACTTTTAATATCAAGAAGACGAATTTGCGAACATCATGCTCAATCCAAAGGTCATGAAAACGCAAAAGGTATGTTGAAGGTTATATACTTTAAATATTAACAAAACGAAATGGTACGTTAATAAAGTTTTGATCATAAATCTGTTTACCAAATCCAATTTCGTTACATTATCGTCACGTAAGACTCCTTTGCTTTTTACAAGTGTTACATATCATTAATTAAGTTCTATTAGTTTTTAGTTAAGGTAACAACTTTCCATTGTTGTCGTAAGTGCTTAAACATGTTTAATATGAATTTTATTAACAATATTATACATTGCGTCCCAGAAAAAAACGAAACCGAGAATTATCGAAGTAACTTAATCACAATTATAGTTAATAAATGACACATATTAATTTGTAAAGCTTACATCCTCCTCTTTCATTATTTTGATGCAACTCATATGATGCATATTTCACGCATGAGTGATTAAAAACAATTTGAAGAGAGGAAACCAAAAAGTCATTCACACGACACCTCAATCAGGAAAAATGAGCCAGGAATAACGAAGTTCTGTTTGCTTAAAGTAATGCTTGCATTTCCATAATTTGGTTAAGTGAATTCGTTTTTCACTGGCTGCCTGCCGTAGCAACACACAGAGTTGACATAAGACATCTCCGTATCGTTGACGATCAGCCATGCACAAAGAAGACGAAAGACTTGATGCATGGTTGATCGTCAACGAAACGGAGTTAAGTCTTTGTCAATTCTGTTTGTGGCTACGGCAGGCAGCCAGTGAAAAGGAATTCGTTTTCAATCACTCATGCGTGAAATATCCATCATATGAGTTGCTTTAAATGAAAGAGGATAATCTAAGCTTTACAAATATGTGTCTATATGTATTTATTAATCATAATTGTGATTAAGTTATGATAAAACATCAATAATTCTTGGTTTCGTTTTTTCTCGGACGCGCTGTATAATGGAAGACTGGAATGGAATTTGTACAGATAGTCAGATTTATTCTATTAATATATCTGAGGGGAGGGGGGGGCACTATCATTTAAATATGGTACAGGGTCGGGTATAAGTATAGTCCCTGAGAATAGTGACGGTGTGGCCCTTAAAAAACCCAATAATTTCTGTGCCTCTCACAGGGCAGTTCCTACTTCCTAACACTCAGAAAGCCTATAACAATATCCATTAGCGATATAAACATGATAAAGAGTAAACGACTACAACGGCTAGTTGCATTTTATGCATAATAATTATGTTTATACTATAATAAATTAATAATCATGATCCATGATGATTGATGTAAAATAATATAGAGGCGGCCGGTTGGCCAAATGGCTGTTGATATACATCATCATGTTCATAAAATTATAAACGTTAATCTTAAACCGTATAACTTGTTTAAGTTTTGATAGGCATATTATGAGGGTGAGTTCTAGATCTATTTTTTACCAAAAATGATCCGAGTTTTTCTGTCTTCCTATTTTTCTGTGTAGCTGCATGTATTGCTGAAGACACTGCACCAGCTGAGAGACCGCTGGAACGATTGGTACTTCGTATGCACCGCAATGTCTTCGATTGGCTTGTGAGACTGTTTCAAATTGCATACTTCATAGCCAAGGAGGAACAACCCTTCACTAACATGTCAAAGTTAGTGGGTCTTGAGAAGCTCCACTGTGTTGATCTTGGAAATGCCTACGCTAATGACCAAGCTTGCCAGAAATTTACCAGATACAACGCCCAAATACTGAGGGAGCCTCTTCAGAAGCATTTGAGATCTGGATTGAAACCACCGCATCCTCGAGAATCACCAAGTTCAACCTACTGCTACCACTCACTGTTCACAGACAGGATAACTGATAGGTCCGATGCAGAGCGAGAAGTAGTGTACGTCAAGATTTTTCAGAATGGTGAAGCACATATGAAAATGATGGGGTAAGCGATTGAGGGTATTTGTGCAATTTGCAATTATTGTAAATACATGATGATCTGAATAATTGCTACAATAGTATAATAACAACATCATGATTATAATGGAAATATTAATGACAATAATATAACAAAAGCAAAAAAGGTAAATATTCGGTTTTATTCTTTAGGCCCAATAGCCTTACTGTGTACATCGATCAAGTGGCTGTATCAAATTAAATCATTATACCCAATACTCCAACAAATATATTACAACAGTAGACTAGTGAATAGTGATGATGCTTTTGTTTATAATTTGTATATTATTAATGTAAATTTTAAAAAATATCAAACAAATGAATTGCAATTTGCAACGATGCTAGTGATGATGAATTTATTGTATTTTCAGACTCATAGATGTTGACCACGCCACTGCCACCGCTGTCAAAGAAGCCTTGGTTAAGCACTACAAAGAATTTCTGGGCCTAGGTGAAGATGAGGTGGACTTCGCTACCACAGGATGTATTGGTGCTGGTACAGATGGCGCTGCCATTAACTTTGGGGTACATCGTGGAATGATGGCACAACTTCGCAACGAAATGCCTTGGCTAATAGCAGTTCACTGTGTTGCTCATCGACTTGAGCTAGCGGTTAAAGATGCCTTCAAGAATTCTTTCTTCTCAAACCAGGCAGGTGCAGCTAGCTGTATAGGCAACTATTTAAAAAAATGAATAGAAATAAATTAATTTCGACTTTCACTTTACAAACTTGTTAGAAAGTCAAAAAATATTACAAATATCAGAACAGGAGTGGCTCCACTCTAACGAATAAGGAACTGGTCCTCGAGTTTCCGTAGTGTCGTTAGAGTAGGGGGTAATGCGCCAGCTAATTACTCCAAAGGGTGCCTGTTCTGAATAAAAACAACTGAATTCTAAGTTTTAAATCATCTAAAAAACGTTCTGATTTTCAAGTTATGCGCCTCTAAAGGTATAATTACTATCAATTCTTAATATTGAACTATGAAAAAATAAGTCTATGACCTGTATCTCGTTCGTATTTATACAGATTCAGCCAGTGCTTCTGAAGGTGTTTGCCTTCTATTCAAGATCTCCCAAATGCTATCGTGAGTTGAAGGCTGTGGCTGATATGAAGCATGTGAAGGTGATAACACTGAAGAGGGCTGAAGGAACCTGATGGGTCGCACACAGGTTGCAGTTCATGGAGGCGTGTGTGCGAAAATACCCGTCTCATCACCCACTGGGAGGACGTCACCAACCCTGCCAGGACAGATGTCAAAGACACTGACAAAGCTGTCAACAGGGGCTTCCTGGCACGCCTCAAGGAGACAAAATTCATGGCACTGGTGGCCTTCTACATGGACGTAATGAGATCTCTGAGTGCCATCTCTAAGGTATTTCAGAGTGCAGATCTCTCTCTCCAGGTAGTGACCGAAACAGTCCATGTCCATGTGAGAACACTTCGCAAGTTACTGTCTGAACCTGAAGTAAGCGGCATCATGGTGATTGAGTTCAGAGGAAATATAGAAGATGGAGAAGATGAGACCATCACATACAGAGAGGTGGAGGTGGAAGGATGCTTGGAAGATGCTGAAATTGCTCTGGTTAAAGAGAGAGATACTATCACCTCGTCCATCGTGGAGAAGTTGGAGGAACGATTTGCTGATTTCACCAATCACCCCATCCTTAAGAGTTGCGAAATCTTCGACCACACCATATGGCCAGAAGATATGGACAAGCTTTCATCGTATGGGGATGAACAGGTCTCAACCCTCCTGAACCACTTCCAAATCCCTCTTCAAAAACAGGGGGTTGATCTTGTCACAGCGAAGAAGGAATGGGGGCAGCTCAAGCAACATGTTGCCACCTACTATAAGGAAGTTCATATGCAACAATGTGGAAGGCAATCTTCAAGAAGAAGAGGGATACCTTCTCCCACATCTTACACCTTGTCGCCATCGTAATGGTGCTGCCAATCTCCAACGCCCAACTGGAAAGAGCCTTCTCTGCAATGGTCAGGGTGTTGACAGATTGGAGGAGGTCGCTGAAGACAGCCATCCTCAGCGACCTCCTGCTCATTACGATGGAGGGGCCTGCAGATCCTGGTGCCCGTGATGCCAAGGCAGGCGCTAGCAAGTGGCTCCTGGATGTCGGGAACATTTGCCCTAACAGGAAAGAGAGAAACAAGGAGGCAGTGGCAGAGGTAGGCCAAGATCATCAAGATGAGTTCGGGGTTGAGATGGGAGATGACCAGGAGGTTGGAGATGAATTTGACAAGTTTGGGGTGGTAGAGTTAGGTAGCGAGAAGCAAGTTGAAACGGATGAAGGTGACCGCGAAGGAGTGGGACTCATAATCAATACTGATGATGATATTACTGCTGGCGATGAAGTGATAACTATTGTTGAGTAACTTTATTTTGAATTCATTTCAATTCATTTATTTTCCACAATAAAAACCAGACAAATGTACAAGGTAAGAAAATAAGTTGTACAGATTTGACACATAAAGCAAATGTAAAACAGAAACGTAAACATAAAACTGTAGTAAATGCTATGTAGCTTTTATGAGTTTCGGGTGTTATAACAATGTACATCACCTAGTTGCACATCACCGTTGCATCTAAACCAGTTTTGAAGTGAGTTTGGTAATAGTCCCTTTTCAGACCTGTACATAAAGTCTCCCAGTGGTAACCTACTCAGTTCATATACAGTCAAAACCCGGCCGTAATTGTTTAAAGGTACTGTTGGTATGGGCCAAACAATGAGATTCTCAATTATGCATATTACACGTTTTTGCAACAAATATAAAGGATTTACCAATGTATTTGATGCATTTATCCATAGCATATTCCCATATTGTAAATGAGGTAGAATTAATGAAATGTATAGTAAAAGCAGTACCTTTGACTGTAATACAAATTTCAGTTTTGACATACCTCCAGTAATTCTCTAGATCTTCAATGCAATATCATTAATATGTAAAGACCATGATAACTTGTCATCAATATTAAGTCCAAAGAAGCAGGTACTCCCTTATAATGGCCATGTCCCATGGAACTATTATTTAAAGGTTATTTAAAGTTATTATTCATTTTGGTTTATTTATTTATGTTATGTTTAACCATGCCTTGGCTGATAGCACTGTGCTACCACTGCTGTGCAGTGTTTATTTAGTGTACTGACAGACCAATGAATAAATAAAAGGCAACGGTTAACAAATAATTGAAAGAATACGTGTTTTCATTCATTTTGAAAATGGCCCCTGATCCTGGAAAAACGGCTCCTGGTTCTCTCAAAAATTTAAGGACCGGGAGCCACTTTTTCAGATATTTGGCTCCCGGTCTGCTTTGACTTAACAAAAGGCTTGCTTGCACCCCAGGGCAACGTGTCTGACAAGATACTTTAATCTTGATCTAAGGAGGAACGAACGAACGATCTGTGTTTAAGCTTGTGATTGAATTACTGAGTGACGCAAAACTTAAATGAAAATGAAACCCAAAATACTTTAGCTGATAGCCTTATTAAAAATTGTGAGCCAGACCTGGGGAGGATTTCATTAACACTTGTGATGTACCGTTAACCCTTCGTATGGGCTTGAACCCATCATAACCTCGCCAAACCCATTGCCCATGGATATTGGGTTGCATTTGGATTTCACTAAACTCCTGCGAAGGTTTAACCCGTCGCTAACCCATCGCAGCTCAGCTGATGCTCAAAGAGTGACGGAAGAGCTGCGATGGGTTCAAAATCATAAATTCCTGTCATAGTGGCGTGTATGGTGGAAAATCCTTAGTTTGTTCAATACTGATTATTAAGATTAATTTTCCTGCTTTATTGTTTAATCCATTTTTGAATCTGTTTATGTTATTTTGTTTCTTGTATCATGTTCATGTCATGTTCCTAATTTCGGGGGCAGGGAACTTTCTTGATGTTTATAGAGATTCAGATGAGTTGGAGTGAATTTTTTTCTCACATATCTTTCTTTTGAAACCTTGATTACCCCCTTCCTTTTTAAGGTATTTAGAAGTGACATAGCAGTAGTTGCATCATGACAAGGATATTCTTTTCCTGAAATGTTATCATTCAAATTGTACAAGAAATTAGACAATGATAAGTCAAACACACACACTGTTACAAGACATGATAAAGATAGTAAGTGTAATGCTAGGGTTTAATAATGATATTGCCAGCAGGAAATTCAGTTGATATATCGTACATATAAAAGCAGTGGCATGTCAGATGTTATGTCATATATCTAGTACAGATGTAGAAGCTTTGATAGTGCTTGGACATTCTATCATTCTATCATTTTAGATTACTCTGACATGAAAGTTTCTGCTCTGCTGAATGCCGAGCTGGCTGACACATATGGCAACCTCCTCTCCAGGGTAGCTGCACCTACATTAAACCCTCAACAGGTCTTCCCTGTGCTAGACAGCAACCTCTTCCCCAGCAGACCTGGTCAGAGTACAACAGCTAGGACTACAGATGAAGATTATCTTTTAGTGGAGTCTGTCAAGAGACTACCAGGTATTAAAATGCAACCCATGTTCATTTCCTTTTATTTTAGAACTTGAAATGCTCTAAGTGCTAATATAGGTTTAACTTTTGTTTATTATTTCATTAAAATCTGGTACAAGTTTGTATGAGAATTAATGACATTTGTCTTTGACATGCTCTTCACCGAGCTAGAACAGACAGTAATTCCGCCCTGTCTTTGTTCAGAGACTTGTGCTTAAAATTACGATGAGATCTTATTGCTTGATTTAAATGATATTTTCGTCTTTCCATAGTTGTATTCAAGAAACTGTGCTGAGAAAAATTGTGCTTTGTGTAGATGATCAATTTTATTCTTGCTCTTGTGAATAATGTTTTATCTTTTCCATATCTCTATCCAGATATTGTTGATTACTTGTGCTTTTGATTTATCTTTTCTTCCTTTTGTTTCTCTCTTCAGATATCGTTGGTGAGCATTACGAGCAATTCTTATTCTATCGTGGCTTAGAAGAGATTATGACTTGTCTTCGCATGGCCAACGCTTTCGTCCAACGTCATGAACCTTGGAATCTTACCAAGGTAAGTTAATATCAAATGACGTAGTAATAATATCGAATATTTTTTATATCCATCAAGCAAGGTGCTCAAGGTTACCCTGGCTCTGCTAGGCTCCCACTTTCAGTGCTCACAGCATTCATGTAATTCCTTTCTACAGGTACCTTGTTAACACCCGAGTGAAGAATGGTAAATGTAGATTAATGTCTCGCCACAGGACACGTCAGGGTTTGAACCCCGCGATGTTCGCATCTCCAGTCAAACGTTTAAACCACTCCTATCATAAGAAATTTTTCTGGAAAATAGATTGAGAAAACTGCAAGTACTTATGTTTCTCAGATTAACTAATATTAATTATATTACATGTTAAGTATCTATTTTGTATATACCTTTTTTTTAAATATATATGAATGCATTGTATTTTGAAATATGTTGTTTAGAAATGAAATGTGATGTTATTTTTAATTTGATATCAACCCTGTAAAAGGTGTACATAGCATATATTGGGGACATCAGTCCATCTACAATATAGAAAGGTGGGCAAATGCAATGATTGATAAATACCAATAGTGCCTGGGATATGCCACCACTTGTTTTGTATTGGTGCATTGTTGAGGAGTAGTTATTACCCTTCCTTTCATGCTTCTGCCTTCACCAAACAAGAAGGTATAATCATTGTGGAGTTTCATGCTTTGGGAGACATTTTGAGCATACCAATAAAGAAGAAAGTATGGAATATTCTGAATTTGAATTTTTAGGGTTTATTACTTTATTTAAGTGTTAGTGTTGGTGTTTGCTGTGTAAGGATGTGATTTTGTGCAATGTCCCATTTTCATGCATGAGAACTGAAATAAGGTGATATTTGTTAGATTTGTATCTATCATGTCATGTAAGGGTGCTGTTTTTAATGTTCCAGAGGTCTTTCATGACTTTGTGTAAGCTAATTAAAAAAGTTAGTCAAAAGAGTTTTATTCCAAATTTAATATACTTGTTTATTGTTCATTTCTTTTTGTCCTTATCATCGTGCCAGCATTATGTTTATTCTATCCATGTTATGTTTCTCTGAACCTCATACAGAATCCTATTGACAGACCTTGGCTTGATTCTATTATACATGTCACCATGGAAACACTGAGGGTTTGTGGGATATTGACCCAGCCGATAGTTCCTGACCTAACAGACAGACTCCTGACAAAGATAGGGGTTGAGAAGATGGAGAGAAGCTGGGAGCAACTCAAGTGCTTTGAGGCCCTGGAAGGGGATGACAGGGAAGGGTATGGAGGACGGGGGTTGAGCGGGGACTCTAGTGTGCTATTTTCTAGACTCAAGACAGAATCACGCAGATAACGATGGCACAAGGATGATAATCTACTTCACAAAATTTATGCAATTGAGAAACTACTACCTTGACGTTACATGCAGCTTAGAAGGAAACATGTGGAGCAGCAAGCATTTGAGATTTAGAGTTCAAACAGGTATGTTTTTGCAACACTTGCATCAAGAGGGACGACATTTGATGATGTCTGGCAACACCCTGAAGGCCATTTACTTTTTTTGGTTGTCCGTCCGTCCGTCCATACATACGTCCGTACGTCCCGTTCTCGTGATATCTCAAGAACCGATTGATGGATTTCTGCTAAACTTATGTCATGCAGAACTTTTGAATTGATTAGATTTACGGGTCATGAAGTCAAAGGTCACATTGCTCATTATGTATGCAAAAATAGCTTGTGATTGCGTTCTCAAGAACCGATTGATGGATTCTTGCCAAACTTAGGTCATGTATGTATCATGCAGAGCCAATGAATTGAGTAGATTTTGGGGGTCACGAGGTCAAAGGTCACAGTGCTCATTATGTATGCAAAAATAGCTTGTGATCACATCATTAGAACCGATGGACAGATAACCATCAAACGCAGGACATGTATGTATTATGCTGAGCTAATGTACTGAATAGATTTGGGGACATGAGGTCAAAGGTCATGGGGCTCATTATATATGCAAAAATAGCTTGTGATTGCATTATTATTAGAACCGATGGACGAATTAGCATCAAACTCAAGACTTTGCAAGATACATATCTTGCAAAGCTTATGAAGTGATTAGATTTTAGTGTCGTGAGTTCAAAATAAAAGGGTCATATATGTATATGAAAAATAGCTCGTAATCACAATATTCTGAGAACCTGTTAATGGATTACAATTAAACTTGAATTTGAAAAATTGCTTCTGTTTTGGTTTGTGAAATCGCTCTATGGCGGAGGCATCATTTTCGACTGCGCCCAGTCGAAGTTCCGTCTGTTTACATTTAGGATTGTCCTGGGCTTTCCATCATTAACTTCATGATTGAAAGTCAGGGCTGTTCCACAGGGACCCCGGGCGTACTATTATACAAATGATGCATGCGCACGAGTTCATTATACGATCTATCTGCACTCGAGTTGAGGCTGTGTGCATCTATTGCACGAAGCCGTTAGGCTGAGTGCAATAGATACACACAGCATCAACGAGGGTGGATAGATCGTATAATGAACGAATGAAAACATGCATCATTTGTTTTATACAACGAAACTCCTAGATCCTTGTTATTTGATGTAAAAAGATTTCATTTAAGATTGTTTTGTGACAGTATATGGCTGACAAATAAAACTCAAGTTTAATGAGGCTTAATTTAGTGCGCACACATATCTATAGATATAGCAAGCGCACTTACCTCTATACCCATTCACGCATATTGCTGGGCAAGAAGAGGCCCATCATGCAAACGCAGTATTAAGCGCTCTACGCGCACTACATGACCAATCATTTGATTAGGATCCGGGAGTGAGTTGTATAATATACAAATAATGTGTGGGAGTGAATTCATTACATGAATCTATCTGCACTCGAGTTGAGGCTGTTTGCATCTATCGTACAAAACCGTTCTCCCTATTATAGCTATAACCGATAAATTAATTAAGGTTCTATAAAGTGGATATCATTTCCTCTATATTGAACATTATATAAAACGAAAAGTCTTATAAGACACTGCAAAGAACAATTGTTGTCTTTAAACTTATCTCCTGGATAATTCATTTATTGTCAATAGTCAAGTCTGTATTCATTTACATCATTATTTGAAAGTTAAAAGTATTATGTTCTAGGCAGTACAACTCATAAATATACATGTGTACGAAATCAAGATTGTGTGATGATCATGTAGCAAATATGTGCTCCTTAAATTCATGCAAACTACTCGTAAGTAAATAAGAATGTAAACAAGTGTATAGAGTAGAGAGTGTATGTCAAACTTAAATAAACATTTTGGAGGAGCATCTATTGAAACTGAATAATTTTATGATTTAGTATGCGATGCTGTCAACTGTCCAAACAGGAGTAAAGCTTCTTACAGAATTTCTATCTAACTAAACTTCTTTGTAATACATTTTGAAATTTTACTGAAAGCAATGTCTACTTATAATACAATATTCTATTTATTAACTCAAATAATGTGGCAAAACAATACTTTAAATTTCACATGAAGCCACATTAAAGGAAAAGCTGAAATTGTTATTATTCTGGCACATGTTTCAATTAACAATCCATATGGCGGTACAGGTCCATTGTTCTAATAACTAGCTTTAACTGATATACATAATGGACTGATGGACATACATGTATAAGAGCGTGAAACACATTTATTATAATTTGTTTCACAAGTACTACGTATTCAGAAGTTCTAAAACATCACTGAACTCTAAATTGAGGAAACTAGTACATATTGTAATAAATGAAAGCTCAATTTTTATGTTATTATATAAATTTAATGTACATGTACACACAAGAAAAATAGACAGAATTTGTATTACTCTGTGTATTTACATTTTACAAAGTGCACTTCATTTTCTTATTGCAATTTAAATGGAATGTCATCTTAACATGTTACAGTGTTTCAGTTGCAAGTATAATAAAATATAGTACATTTATGTACAAAGTACAAATTTATTTAACAGAGTTCTTTTCCTTTTATTACTGTCAGAGTGATCTCTATTTTTCTCTTCAAATAATTCACCAAATGCTTAATGGAATGTCCAACCTGATTCCAACCTGATATTCATTTGTTTCATGAAGGCTTCATAAAAATTGTTTTAAAAAAATCTGTGAACACTTAATAAAAATGAGATAAAAATGAATGTACAACCTAACTTTCTGTGCTTGCAGGTGTCTAGAATGAATGACTGTTTTTCACAGGCTTTCTGATATTTATGAACATTAACATTAACACACATACCTGTATCATATTCTACAGCTTTCATATCAAATTCTCATATTACAGCACCAGAATTTCCCAAACTTTGTGGATTGCACTGCTGTGTGCATGTGAATCCATTGAACAGAGTACTTCACAATTCCATAGACATTTCTTTAATAGCATTTTGCACAAGATACAATATGTACAGTGTACAGGACATGTATATGCAGTCATAAAATCATGGTCATTTTAATTACGGTTTAAAAAACCCCTTCTATAAAGTGGGTAGAGTTACTGTAAAACCCCAAACTATCATGCATGCAACTTAGTGGATTTTCATGCTTAATATTCACAGAACTTTCTTGTCACTAAAATGACTGTCGTACAAAATACATAAAAATTCACTGAGCTCTGTGTTAAAAGATTAGGAAATGTGACTTGTATTACACTCGACGTCTTCACACAAAAAACGCTGCAATTTTCCAGTTTCATATCTGAACAAAGCTTATGTGTTGCTGATACGCTAGGCAGGATTAGGTCTGGGATTCATCAAATGTCGTCCAAACTTGACAATTGCCCTTTGAAGCATCTCCCCCTGGATTATCATCTTCCGACTTATAGAGGGCATTGCTGAAACTGTTACGCTTGGCTAAATGAAAGAATAAATCATGCAATTTGTATTTAAAAAAACTTGTAATGTTAATTTTCATCCTGAAGACCGATGATTCAGACGAGACATAGCAAACAGTATCCGGACACCTACCCCCTAGGACATCTACCGCCCGGACAACTACCCCCTAGGACACCTACCCCCTAGACATCCACCCCAGTCAACTAACCCCTAGGACAACTACCCCCTAGACATCCACTCCCAGTCAACTACCCCCTAGGACAACTACCACCTAGATATCCACCCCAGTCAACTACCCCCTAGGACAACTACCCCATAGATATCCACCCCAGTCAACTACCCCCTAGGACAACTACCCCCTAGACATCCACCCCAGTCAACTACCCCCTAGGCCAACTACCCCCTAGACATCCACCCCCAGTCAACTACCCCCTAGGACAACTACCACCTAGATATCCACCCCAGTCAACTACCCCCTAGGACAACTACCCTATAGATATCCACCCCAGTCAACTACCCCCTAGGACAACTACCCCCTAGATATCCACCCCAGTCAACTACCCCCTAGGACAACTACCCCTAGATATCCACCCCAGTCAACTACCCCTAGGACACCTACCCCCTAGGACAACTACCCCCTAGATATCCACCCCCAGTCAACTACCCCCTAGGACATCTACCCCCTAAGACATCTACCCCCTAGGACGACTACCCCCCGGACAACTACCCCCTAGATACCCACCCCCAGTCAACTACCCCCTAGGACAACTACCTCCTAGATATCCACCCCAGTCAACTACCCCCTAGGACAACTACCCCCTAGATATCCACCCTAGTCAACTACCCCCCAGGACAACTACCCCCTAGGACAACTACCACCTAGATATCCACCCCAGTCAACTACCCCCCGGACAACTACCCCCTAGATATCCACCCCAGTCAACTACCCCCCCAGGACAACTACCCCCTAGATATCCACCCCAGTCAACTACCCCCCGGACAACTACCCCCTAGATATCCACCCCAGTCAACTACCCCCCCAGGACAACTACCCCCTAGATATCCACCCCCAGTCAACTACCCCCTAGGACAAATACCCCCTAGATATCCACCCCCAGTCAACTACCCCCTAGGACAACTACCACCTAGATATCCATCTACCCCCGGACAACTACCCCCTAAGTTGTCCTAGAGGATGGTTGTCATAGGGGGTAGTTGTCTTCTTTTTTTCTTTCCCTCAACCACCCCTCCCCCCCCCCCCCCCCCCCCCTTGAGTAAAACAAAAAAGGAGGATTCGGGGCGGGGGGAATGGCATCTAACATTTGGAGTAAGAAAATTGGGGGAAATAAGGGAAAAATAAGGAAAATAGGGGTAAAATCAACAACAACAAAAATAATTGGGAAACCGATTTAAATCGGGTAATTATCAGGCCTGGCAATTACAGGTGCAAAGCTATTCCTACTAGCATGTATTTAGTTCGCAATGTACATGTACATTCTCTGAAATTGTTTGTCTTCATGACACAATTTCAGTTCTTGGTACCCTATTTATGCTCTTCTCCTCTTCTGTTTTCAATATCATTCAACATAACCTCTAACCGATACTTGTTTTCAACCATCTCCCCTACCAATTTGTCTTTCCCATACACATTCTCTCTTACCTTGTATTCTTCTCTCTCTATCTCCCTCTGTCTGTCTGCCTTCTCTTGTATCTCTCTTTATCCTATTCATAATAAATCAAACTAGCTCTATCACCAATCTCATCCTCATTGTCACTGTGTTGCCATGGTAACATTACAATGATCACAGGAACAAAAGTACTCTCTTTCTCCCCTTCTTTCTCCTTTTCTCTCTTGATTTATCCCTCTATCACAGTTTCTTGCACTTCCTCTCTCAAATCTTTTTCTTTTTAAACGTTACAAATACAAAACAAATCCTCACTATCCCCATGGTAACAAGACACTATAAAGCTGACGTACCTTGCAATGCATCCTCATCGCCATATGTTGCTAGATGCTCCAAGTCAAAGTTATCCATCTCCTGCATCTGATGATACTTTCCATCCCCGGTGACATTGTCATCATCATCGTCTTCTGAGTCATCTCCAGGGGCCGAGGCAATGTTAGTAAGCTTTATCATCGGGATGCTGAGAAGGGAAATAGTACAGTGATGCAGGTTTGAATTTTCTGCCTGACAGATCTACAGTAACATTAAAAGCATTTTATGTCAAATTCCTACAACGAAGTACTAGTAATCATATTAAACCATTGACCTCTGAATTATTTAATTCCCACCTAGTTCTTGTAGGTAACAGGTAAATCCTATTCCTACACAATGTATATATATATATATATATATACTAAAGAATACAAAGAAAATTTTGCATTCAGGCAGATGAGGGAATTTTAGCTGACACTGCAGACATCTCTCTCAAAGATTTTACAAAAAGAAAACAAAGGGGCTACTACTGTTCTATGCAAGTGTGCATGTGTGTGACAGCTACTCTACTCCACATAAATTGTTACATTTACTGAGAGTGTATTTGAGTCTATATATGACACAATGGTTTCCTAGTGCCACAAATTATTTGTCATGGGATAGATACCAAAGGTCTCAAGATTATTTATTTTTTTTTTTTTTTTTTTTTTTTTTCCATCTTTATTTCACAATTCACAAGTTTTACATGTCAAGAAAATAATTACATGCATGAAACATCAAAATTAAATCAATCATAAAATATGCAAATATAGAAAACAAACATTCAGTACAGGAGAGATTAAAAAAAAAAAATGAACACCTACTTTTTCAGTCTCTAAACACTTGCCATTTTTTCTCATGGAATTCGAGACGATTCTTTTTGAAAGCAATAATACGTTCTGTTCTTTCTAAATGTCTAACAGAAACTAGGAAAGGCTGAAACTTGGGAATCGTGTTCTGTATCTTACAAGAGAAAATGAAATATTTAGCATGGAGTATAACTGTGTTTACTAAATAAAAATTATTAATCATTAAAGTCCCAAAGCAAATTTCTTCCTCAGAGAACATGTTTTGTCGAAATTGTTTATCTTTAAGCCAAGAAAATATTTCGTTCCAGAATTTACACACAATCTCACACTTTAAAAAGAGATGTAATAAGGTTTGTGGATAGGTTTCACAGAAATTACAATCAGGAGATTCATGAATCCCCATTTTACATAGCAAATATTCAGTCGCAATTTTCCTGTGAATGAACTTAAATTGGAAATTTCTCATTTTATTTTCGTTTGAAGATTTGTAAATCAAAGAGAAACGATTTTTCCATATTAACGAGCTGTTCAAATCAACTGATAAATCAGATTGCCATTTATTTTGGTGATCTGTTTCTGATATTGAAATTGTATGTTTTTTCAAAAAAAGAAGGTAACATAATTTTGAAACTTTTTTCAGTCTTAGGAAGTCATTCAAAAGAATATCGCTTGCATTCAACAACAATAAAACATCATGTTTACAGTCACCATGCTTTATAGTATCTTTCCAATTCTTAGGAATGGCAGCTAATATTGAAAAATAGGTTAGAAATGAATCTGAACCATACTTCTGTAACACTTGATCAAACGGTATGAAGGACCCATCATGGTTTAATATATCTTTTATATATATCATATTTTCTTTAAACCACCTTTCAACAAAAATCGGTTTACCATCAATCAAAATGTGAGAGTTAAACCATAAGGGTTGTGAAATGATTTCTTTAAACTTAACTGGATTATAGTACTTGTAATGACACCACGCAGTAAGAACATCCTTCCAAAATGGATCTATGTTTTCATTAAAAACCATGTGCTTTGAACAAATATTCCACTTAAAAAAGTGGTCTCCGCCAAACTTTTTGAGAGATGATTTCAAAAAGATTTTCCATTTACTTTCATTTTGATAATCAAGGTATCTTTTAACCCATGTAATTTTCATTGCATCATTAAAAGATGACAAATGGAGCATTTTTAGACCCCCTTCGTTATATTCATTGTAAAGTAGGGAACGTTTGATCTTGTCATTTTTGTTACTCCATAAAAATTTGAATAATAATTGCTGAATTTCCACAATAAAGGACGGAGGAGGGTTGGGTATAGTGCTCAAGAGATAGGTCAGTTTTGGAATGATAAGGGATTTTATAATAACAATTTTTCCATAAAGCGTAAGGGTTCTGCAGTTCCAAATATTTAAGGTTGTTTTAATATCCTTAAGTTTGGGTTTGAAGTTGAGTTCATAAAAATTCAGGCAATTGTTGATAGGGATATTAACTCCTAAGTACATGAAATTATGCGACGGCCATGTAAATGGGATATCACGACACAATATTTGTTTAAAATCCCCCAATCTTATTATATTACACTTTTCAATGTTAATTTTCAACCCAGACATATCTCTAAAAACATCCAAGACTTTCATACAACGTTTAATATTTAGTTCATTTGGCTCAAGAAAAATAGTTGTGTCGTCTGCATATTGACTGATTTTGATCTCCATATCGTGAACTTTCAAACCTATAATGTATTTATTTTGTCGAATTAAAGAGCCGAGGAGCTCGACCGCTACGATGAACAAATATGGAGATAATGGGCACCCTTGTCTTACTCCTCGCTGTATTTCGAAGGGGTTTGAAGAAAATCCATTGTTTATTACACACCCATCAATATTGAAATATAACAGTTGAACCCATTGGATAAAGGCTTGATCAAAACCAAAAATGTTCAAAGCGTAATATAAAAATTCCCAGTCAATCATATCGAACGCCTTTTCGAAGTCAATACTCAAAGCCACGCCTTCGATATGATGTGCTCTACAGAAATTTTGAATGTCAATGAATAGACGTATGTTTTCTCCAATGAAACGGCCTTTGAGGAAACCATACTGGTCATTGCTTATCAGTTTTGGTAAAACCTTTTGAATACGTAAAGAAAGAAGCTTCGCTAAAATTTTATAGTCACTGTTCAGGAGCGATATTGGACGCCAGTTCTTAAGAGATAACAGGTCCTTACCCTTTTTTGGAAGCAACGTAATAACACTTCGTCGCATTGAATTAGGGAGAGACTTTTCCGAAAAAGAACTATTATAAACGGAACATAACAGTTCTTTTATTTCGGGCCAAAAGGCTTTGTAAAATTCAATAGGGAGACCGTCAGAGCCTGGTGACTTATCGTTAGAAAAAGTTAAAATAGATTCAAAACATTCCTTTTCCCATATCTTTTCACCCAAACAACTTTTGTCTCTCAAATCTAATACAGGCAAGTTCAACTCGTCTACAGGCGCAAAAGATCTAGCACCTGTGATATTCGATGAATACAAACGATTATAAAAAGACCTTTCTTCCTCAAGAATACCTTTTGCATCAGTTACAACGCCGTTCTCAGTCCGTAGTCTTGAGATACATTTTTTCTGAAAGTTTCTTTTTTCTAGATTGAAAAAATACTTAGTGTTGCGTTCACCCTCAGCAATCCACTTAGCCTTGGTACGCACAATGATACCACGCACAACTTCTTCTTGTAATTCTTCAAATTCACTCTTTTTACTTTTTAGTTCGTTTAGAAGTTGCTGGTCATTGACAACATTGTTTGCATCATTCAAATTATTTATTTCTTTTTCTAATTGCTTTAATTTTGTCTGGCGATTGTTTTTCTTTTCTTTTGCAATTTGTGTAAACTTTTGTCTTACTTTGAACTTTAAAAACTCCCAGGTCTTTTTTGGCTCCTGATCTTTGTTTTCTAATAAAACTGTGTTAATTTCACTCCTGATCTTCTCCATATTATCTGAATTTGCTAATAAAGAAGTATTCAATTTCCAAAATCCCGGTCCCCGTTTAGCTACTGATTTTATTAAAAACAGAGAGATCAGTGAGTGGTCTGTTTTGTAACCAAAGTCAATGTCACATTTCAAAACTGATGTTATCAAACTTTGTGAAATTAAAAAGTAATCTATGCGGCTTCCAATTTTAAAGTCATGGGACATCCATGTATATTTCAACTGTGTGGAATGACAAGATCTCCATATATCAATCAATTCAAAGTCGTTTATTATATCAGTAATGGCTTTAAAGCACTTAGGGTGATTTTGTAACAATTTGGGAAATTTGTCTAATTTGGCCTCCATAACTGTGTTAAAATCTCCACCAATTATATACGGTTCTTCCCCGTGTTCTGATAATAGGTTATGTAAATCAATGAAAAAGCTGCCATCGTCATTGTTTGGGCCGTATATATTTGCGAGAGTTATCATGGTTTCATTGACTTTTAAAGTGACCAATAATATTCGACCTTTGTCATCTCTAACAGTATTCAAAACATCAAAGGTAGCTGAAGGTTTTAATAACATACACACTCCTGCACTATCAGATCGACCGTGGTTAAAAATGATTTTATAACCCCACTCATGACTCCATATTTTTTCTGAATTTGCTGTGGAGTGCGTTTCTTGTAAAAAAATAACGTGAAAATCTGTGTTTCTTATCCAATTAAAAATACAACGTCTTTTAAAAGAGTTCCCAAGTCCTCTTACATTAAGAGAACAGATTTTAAAGTCAATTTTCTCATCCATTAAACACGTTAGATACAATTGTATGTTCTTTTATCATGACAGAGCAATATTTGGGGGGAAAGTTAGCATGAATTATCTTCCTAAAATACAATTTACACAAGTTCAACAGTCTTTGTGAATTGTTTTTCTGGCCTATATTTGTAGGCAAATAAAAAACAAAAAAAACCCAACGGCATTCAACAAATAAACCTTTAAAAACGAACATTGCTGTTTTGCAATAGTTCGTTCGCCAACATACATTCCTATGGCGTAATAACAAAGGAGCATGATGTAAACATTATGGCTGACTAGGTCTTACAACATCAGTCAATCATCGCTTAGTGCCGGTTCAACATTAATTATTATGTTGATGTTGCTGAAAGGCTGGACCGTTGCTATAGTTATGAATGTCCTGTAACTCCATCATAGTAATATTATAGTTCATGTGCATTTGTTTTTATCAGTTACTATTATTATTCATGTGTTGTCGGTGGTGTTGATATCTGACAATCTGATCGTTTTCAAGGGACCGGGGGCGTCTTTAGGGCCGTTCTTGTATTTAATCACTCGGGGCACAGAATTTGGTATAAACGCAAATTTGTTTTCCTCCCGTAGTTGCTTTACTTTCACCATCAGTTGCCTATGCTCATCTCTTGTATCTTTGTGGACGTCATCACTGACTCCCACCTTCGAATCTTGGATACGAACTTTCTTTAGAGCCGAACTACGCTTCAGAATTGCTTCTCGATCGTTGAACCTCAGAAGCTTGACGTGAATGGGTCGTGGTCTCGGGCGGACGCCTTCGTTCCTTGTCGGAGGCTTTCCTCGGGGGGTCCTGTGCGCTCGCTCGATCTCCACCTCATGCATATTCAAATGTGTAACAAAGAATTTCCGAGCGTATGTTATGCAATTCGGTGAACCGTCTGGCGCATTCTCCTCCCCTTCTGGTATCCCATGTAGAATTACGTTGTTGAGTTTGCTTCGGTTAACAAGGTCAACAACAGATCGTCGAATCTCATTTACATAATCAAAACCGGCCTTAGTTGCACGAATTTCTCCCACATCCTGCTTAATTTCACTCATTTCTGTCTCCAAGAATTCAGTTCCATGTTCTAGGTCTGAAAGTCTAGTATCTAGACTTTCAAGATTAGCCTCAATTTTCACCACTTTCTCAGAGATAACATTCACTTTCTTACACATATCGTCAAGCACGGACACCTTCTCGAGTATGTTACGTAACATGGCTTCCATATTTTCAGTACGTACCTCAGTACATGGCGGTACAGTGGGAGTGGCACTTTCACTTGATATCTTCTGTTGGTCCATTTCGTCGGGTTTTTCTTCTGAACTCGATTTCCTCAGTCTCTTGAAGCTCAGCATGTTACACTCTTTCAGCCAACACTTTCAAAATCTCAGTCCAAATGGAATTAGGCCGTCAAAACTAAGTATTTATCACACAGCTCCAAGGTATCCGTCCTATCTAGCTAGACATCAAATTGGCAACCTCCTCAAGATTATTTAATTGTTTCTACTGGAAGATTAGTCTGTAATAGTATGCAAAAGGTTGTCAAGACTGGAAATGTGTAATTTTAGAAGCCGAGTGTAGTACAAACACTATGAATATAACGGACAAAGAAAGCGGACAAAATATACAGTTCCTCAGGTAGACAAAGGAACATCCCTTCACTGCTATAATGTAAAAAGGTGAATATGCATGTGACACCTGTTCTACACACTTTTACATAATAGCAGTGAAGGGATGTTCCTTTTTGTACCTGAGGAACTGTATATTTTGTCCGCTTTCTTTGTCAGTCATATTCATAGTGAAAGCAATATATGCGTCAATCGGTGCCTATGTTCATAGTGAAAGCATTATATGCGTCAATCGGTGCCTATGTTCATAGTGAAAGCAATATATGCGTCAATCGGTGCCTATGTTCATAGTGAAAGCATTATATGCGTCAATCGGTGCCTATGTTCATAGTGAAAGCATTATATACGTCAATCGGTGCCTTTGTTCATAGTGAAAGCAATACATATGCGTCAATCCGTGCCTATGTTCATAGTGAAAGCATTATATGCGTCAATCGGTGCCTATGTTCATAGTGAAAGCGATATATGCGTCAATCGGTGCCTATGTTCATAGTGAAAGCATTATATACGTCAATCGGTGCCTATGTTCATAGTGAAAGCATCATATGCGTCAATCGGTGCCTATGTTTGGTACAAAATGGAATGTGTGGCAAATGAGAGACCATGCAGAGAGGCGAAGAGCCAACCGAGGTGTTAAACTGTAATATCTCTTTGTTAAAGTACTATTGAAAGCTCAGATCATCAATTCAGAATAGTGACATGGAACCCCTTACAACAAGAGCAATACATGTTTTGGTGATTGATATGCAAACTTATTCAAGAACATAATGTGAGAGATACTGCATGTCTTGCACTACTTACTTGTCAGAGTGTCGCTTCCATACCACCACCACGATCACAACAATGATGACCACCAAAAGCACGAGGGCGACACACACACCGATGACCACACCATGACCTCCCCCGGCCTTTCTTCCTGTCTTTCTTCCTGGTGTCTGAGGGCGCCCTCCAGAGTCTGTTGTCATGGTAATGGAACCTTTCCCACCTGTCACCATGATAGAGGGAGATGGCTGTTCGCTCAAGATCGCTGCATGAGCAGAGGAAAGAAATTAAATGATTTCATGACAAAATTCCTCTTGCATTCATGTACATGTATTTCGAGACTGTTACAGAAAAGCCAATCCTATCATGAAGCCTGTTTAGTCAAATGCTATTGTAAAACCACTTTACAAAAGATTCACCACCTGGAAGAAGAATACCCATCATCTTTGGTTGAAATGAATGGCAAGTGGGAGTGACGAAGATAGCTACACTGGGGATAGGCAACTATAGGCTTTATTTATACATATATATTTATACATTCAATTATTTGCACGTATATTTGTTCTCTTTGTTGTATTTTCTTATGTATATTATGTATGTGTTTCTTCAATTATGCACGGACTTGCCAGTGGCTTTAAAGCAAATGTTTCTATTCTTAAAATCAAATGAAATGAAATCCTAGTCAGCTTTGCTTATAATTGCAGTCTCCTGCACTTTTTCAACTGATAGTTTGGATATTACTTTAAATTTATAATAATATGTTATAGAAATATTAAGTTTCGTTATTATATGTACATATGTAAAAAAAAAATAACATTTTGACATGAAGTTATCATTGTTTGTTTATTTTGTATTATACCTTACGATTGTATGTTCTTTGTTATTCTGTTATTATATTTGGAAAAATGCAGAAATAAAATAAAATCACAAAAAAATGACAGGAACTTTTGACCAGTATGGATCCATCCGGTTCCAATCTGCAATGGTTATAAATCAAGCATGCACCTACCTGGTTGTGTAGTCTCTGAGTGTCTGTTAGAATCTGGTGTGGATAAACCTCCTCCATCAATGTTATTGTCTGACGTAGGGCGTGGGGATGTCACATCAGAAGGATCTGTACAGGTGTAAAGCAATCAATCAACTATGTGGCAAATCCAACCATGATAGCAAACTAGTAAAAGTTTGAATGAAATTGGTCAAAGAATGAGAAAATCATAAATGTTTGAAAGTTGCAATCACTTTACCCATGGGCTCTTGATATTGGTATTAACATCTGGGTAATGTAGCGACGGGCAACTTTCCCATTTGTTCAAACACACAAAACAAAAAAATCTTAAGTTTTCAAAAATGTATGGATCAGGAGAGAGCCTATAATGGTATGCTATCCATAATATATTTTGAGTAGTGCCAAAAGGGAGAATTAAGGAACTTAGGAGAAAACAGAAATAATTGATATTTTTGTACAACAAACAGGAAAGTTGTCTGTTACGTCGTCACAATCCACGAACCGAATGGCCACCTTGAGATTTGCACTTACATGTACTTAGTGATCTTATATTTCAAACATTCATAATTATCTTAGTATTGGTACAATATATTTCAAACTTTCACCTCTCCGTTTATCTTATCTTTCTACTATCATACAAATGAACTTATTACAATGATTAGATTTCCCTTCAATCAGTTAACTACTGAATTGACTCTTTCTCATAGGCTTGCACAGAAACCATACAGTTCCCATAGCCAATGAGTTAACAGAGCTGTGGTAGGTCCAAATTCATCAGAACCAGAAAACCATAACAGATGAAAGGATTTGATTCTATTCTAATTTTTATTATTTCTATATCTTCTTTCTAGTCAGATATTCTCATAAACATAAACCTGATGCCAAATCCAATTTAATTTGTTGAAGTATAAATTGAAAGCTGCTCTTGTAAACTTGGTCTGTGTCTCAGCCATATCAGAAGAAATGTCCAAGAATTAATAGGCCTAGAACTTATGCATATGACTGACATATAAAGAAGAAACTCTGATCTCTAGTCCTAGAGCTAAAGCATATACTGACCTATACATGATGTGACAGATGAGGCTCCTGGACCAGATGTTGTATTGTTACCAAAGCAAGGCTCACAACCCCTCTGGCCGCGGTTCTCTTGGAATGAGCCTTGTGGGCATTCCAAGCAGTCTGGTCCTAGACCCAGGTAGGAATATGTTCCAGATAAGCACATTTCTGGAAAGAAAAAAAAATACAAAAATAGTATTTTGAAAATTTATGTTCATTAAATATATACTTCCTCATTCCTAGCCACATATTTTGCTTTGTACACATCTAGAATTTTACAAACTTGTTCTTGAAACAATAAAACCAAAAAATTGAAGGGGTACTCAACCTCAACTCTAAACCTGACCTTAACCTAATGCAACCTTAACCCTATATCAACAAAATAAACCCAAAGCAATTGTTGCTAGAGTAAGAACCCCGGCCCCCCCACTCAGAGGTCGGAATGACCGCATGCGTGTTGCCAAAATGTCCGGTAAAGGGGTACTTTTCGTGCGACAAAGTCCGGCCCAAGAATTGTAAAAAAGGGGTGTATTTGACTTTTCACCCGGAGATTTCTTTAAAAAGGGGGCGTTTTTCTTTTTTTCTCTCATCTCTTTGGACTCCTGAGAAATTATTCCGAATTTAGGGGGGTACACACTACAATCTTTTTGAGTAGAATATATTTGAGGAAGGGCAATAGCTCAGAGTTGAGCAGTGGTCTCGTAGCCAGAAGGTCTCAGGTTCAAAACTAAGTCAATGCAATAGTACCGTTTGGTAAGGCAATAATCCTCATTACCAAGTCCCTCCAAGAGGACTTTTACAGCCACCTGTCCTGTGGTTGCATACACATGCTTTATTAGCAGTCAGGTAAAAGAAACCATCAAACAAGCAGTATTAAGTATCACCTTTGCAATGATCTGCTTTGTATGCACCAGTACTTCCAGTGCTTTTCCCATCAGAACATCGTATACAAGTACTTTGGCCCATGAGGTCCTGATATGACCCCTTACGACATCGCTCACACACAGGGGCCCGCAGGTTCTTGAAGGTGCCAGGAGGACAATATTCTGCAATGAAAACAAAGTGTTCTTTTGTTATATTTAACCCATTGCCTATAGGAACCAGATGGTTCTTGTACAGAGCCTATGGTAATAGGAGAATCCAGTTGTCAATTGGTTGATCCATTTGTCAATATTACTTCTCTCATTCTCTGGCTTCATTTAATGACTAGATGCAGCTCTTCAGATTATGGAAGTACAATTAGTGATGTTTGTAAACACACATGAGCAAATAAAAAGTACAAAAAAAAAAAAAAAAATACAGACAGAGAAAGAAAGCAAGCAAGATTACAAAAAAGTTGGATAGAAGAAGAGAGAAAAATACAAAGAAAGAAAATACATGTATGACAGAAATGTATGTTGGTGACCGCGAACATTGTATTTACAAGTGAGCTTTAATTATTTATCAATTTCATAATTGCCATTCTGATGTCAATAAGAGTAGCTGAAAATCTGAAAGCTGAAAAAAGTTCTAGAACCTTTGTTGCCCCGGGGAAACCCCTCACCTAATCTCCTATATATTACCGTGCCTGTGCAAATACTTCCTCTTTTGAAGCCAGCATGCAGGTGGAATCCGCAGAGTGGGATAGATGGGAGGGGCTCAGACAGGTAGGTAAGTAAAGCTCACTTGAAGATGAAATGTTTGGTCATGAACCATCCACTTCTCTTTACCACTTGAACCAGAGTTTCTTCCAGAACCAACCTTTCCATGAGCTCACTTGTGTTCTTTCTATCGGACATAGTTTCACACCACACATCTTCTGTCTCATGGCTATTTCTGTTCTCAAGATTCTTTTCTGTTTTCAAACCAAGTTTCTGAACCATATACCATCGCTGTTCTAACAAAAGCCTTATAGATCTTGTCCTTTGTTCTAATTGTAAATGTTATTTCTACCAGCTGGTATCAAGGCAAGCTCATTAAACTACATCTACTCACTAATCATTATGACTTCTGAACACCCCTTTTTTTTGGTGCCACTACATTTCGCTATTAAAGCGACCTCAAATTCAATACTTGAGGAGCTAATTCCTAATGATACTACCGTCAGCATAAAACACTCACCACAAAGCATGTTGATTATGATTTGACCATTGCCACAGATGGGCATGAAGCCACCAAGCTCAGATTGGTTAGGGTTAAGGGTCGCCGTCATGTTGGGAAGGGAGAGTGAAACATTGGTCTCGCTCCACATGTTGTTTATACTTTGGTTGTAATTGTTGAAGAAACTTGGAACCGAGGATACACCACTGTAATGCGAAAAAAGATAATATGAATATTCAAGATGAGTATACATGTAGATCCCATATATCTTAAACTAAGAAATAACAGTTTATTCTTTGATTTTTGTTCTCTATTTTTGAAGAAGAAACAAATTCTACTTGTGAAGTGTTCTTTGAGCTATTTTTCAGTTTACAATTTTTGATCGTCATAGCTGACCATAGTGAATTGCAGCTGGTACCTAGTGGTTGTCATCCTTAGAGAGACTGTAGCAGACGACGAGGATGTATCTCTTGATCTGGGTTCACTCTCTCTCTTCTTCCTTCTCCTAGGTCCTTGGGTTGCTGTGGTAGGAGCAGAGCTACAGGTCACCGATACATCAGGGAGTGCACAGTCCACTGAGCTATCCAGACTACATTCTTTCTGTTAAAGGTATTGATAATAATACAAATGATCATATACAGGACATGATAAATTGAAGAGTATCTCTCTCTCTCTCTCTCTCTCTCTCTCTCTCTCTCTCTATCTCTCTCTCTCTCTCTCTCTCTATGTATAAGGTTGTTGTAAGTTGTTACAATCATTATTGTCAATGGCATCATATCTGGGCATGGGAGAGAAAAAGCGAACCTCATCACGTACGGTAGCCCTCATGTTTCTCCTCTGGATATAACTGCTGGGGGATGTGCAGGTGGACCACTACACCAAAGGTTTCCAAAGGGAGCTTATTGTAACATCCTATTCGAGGGACAGAGTGTTTTCCAATGTATCACAGCCTACATCTACATCTATGGAATGATGTTCACATTGATGTAGGTTTTTGTATTTTCTTAACATTTATTTGTCAAGCATTAACACTTTATAAAATGAGATAAAGAAATGTTTAAGCCCTGCATATGGCAGGACTTAAAGAAAATACCCTAAAAGGAATTGTTAAAGAAAGAAATGCAAAATACTTTGATCACATAAAAAGACATCATAGTCTCTTAAAAAATGTAATGGAAGGCATAGTAAAAGGTAGGTAGCAGACCAAGAAGGTAACCAAGAACTACTAACTGGGAGAGGAACAGCTAGGACATGGAATTGAAAGTCACTGTAAGACTGTACTAGGATGCCGGCAGAAAATAGAGATGTGATTCACTTCTGAGCTGGGAGAAGATACCTTGATATAGAGAACAGAACAAAAAATATACACCTTGACAGGATAACCCATGAAAGCTAATTATTTGCTTATTTCCAATGGGTTCTTAAAATGAAAGTTTAGGTTTATTCTATGAAAAAAATAACATTACCTGAGAACTGAAGAATACCTTGAACCTTATTATATACTTACAAACATGCTGCTTGTTTTGAAGAGTTTTACAAAACTGGTCTGTAGATGATTTCTGGCCATGAAACAGTCTCCATCAAGGTTGAATACCACATCACCAGTCATATCCCATGTCATGGTTGCCACAACTTGTCCTGTATAGCATAATATCAATGAGAAATGATCACCATTCTCATAGAAAGACAGTATGGATCATCAAATAAAAACAATAACAAAATCTGAACACTTTGGTTGCTTTATTCACCTCTATGCACAATTTGGTTTGCCACACATGCATTTTAGCACAAAACAACAGGAACTCATTGAGGTAAAGATTGCATTATGGAATACAATGGCTTTGCAAATAGACACATTTCCGGTGTTAAAGATAAAGTTGAGTACTGGTCACTATTGCGATTGGATTGTGAAAGAAACTGTGTAGAATCGCTCAGAAAAGGTTGATCATCTAGCATATTGGTGTGTACTGCAAGGTTCTGGAATCATCAAAATGATAAGAAATGTGGCCTAGTCTAGGTAAAGTTACAAGCACTATACACAGAAAGATGCGTATGGGACAACGCAAATGGTGTCGGGGTTAGTCCACCTTGATTCCCTTATCTTTCTATGCTCATTACTCAGCCAGTATACATTTTCTACCAAAATTGTTTTGCAAATGACATTTATTTGTAATCTTGAACATTCAGTGTAAGTTTTGTTTGATTCTGTGAGAATTCATTTTATTCTTGTTACCGGAACTCAAGTTTATCTTTAAAGTAGCCACACGAAGAATCAATAGTGTTCTGAATTGATGCAAAACTCATATCATTGCGAAGGGGAAGCCTTGCTGATCAAATACAACAACTCTTTTCTTCAAATTATGTTTGGGGCCCGCAGTAATCAACTCTCAAAAATGTTTTGAGATCCAGATTTTCTGCCTTAATCAGCCGTCCTTTATAGAGCGTCAATATTTGTGACGTCACATACGGGACACGGCTGGCTAGCTGCAGACTGCCACACGGCACTGAGCTGTTTGTCCAGTGTGTGACGTCACTATTCAGAGCTCGCTACACTCGTGTGTTTGGCTTACGTTTGGGGGCACTTGGGGGTCTAAGAAGGGTCTTGAAAAATTGCATTTTACGCCTTTCCATGATATCTATATGATTTCTCAGCAAATAATTCGTGTTTCTCAAGAGAAAATCTTTCCATCCAGGGGCGTACGCAGGATTTTTTCAAGGGGGGGGGGGGGGTTTTAAAATCTGGCCCAAAATATTTTGCTCCCAAAAATTTGAAAATCGCGCCGGCTCAAAAGTCACTCAGTGGGGGGGGGGGGGGGGGGGGTAAGCGGACACTTTTAAAAAAAAAAAATCGCAAAGACTCAGCCAACCGAAAAGTCGCTCAGTGGGGGGGGGGGGTAAGCGAACACTTTTTTTTTTTTTTTTTTTTTTGGTCTCGAAATTTGAAAATTTGAAATTTTTTCGTTGGGGGGGGGGGGGGGTAAGGTCACTTTACGTTAGCCGTGGGCATAATTTTTTTTTTTTTTTTTTTTTAATTTAAAAAAAAAAAAAAAACAAAAAAAAACAAACAAAACAAAGGGGGGGGTTTTAGTTTTTTTTTAGGGGGGTTTACACACATAAAAATACAAAAGGGGGGGGGGGGGGGGGTTTGAACCCCCAAACCCCCCCCCCCCCCCCCCCCCCCCCCCCCCCCCCCCCCCCCCCCCTGCGTACGCCCCTGTTTCCATCCATATGTAATTTGTTCTAATTATCAGTTGTTAGTGAATTTTCTTTGTGTAGCTCCTTTAATGACAACATTTTAATACCAGTATAGATCAATCTTGCACTCCCATGATTAATACAATGTGATAAAGAGAGACAATTTGTATTGCATAAAAGAGTTAACCTCTTGGGTGCTCATCAATATATGGAAAGGTATCAGTATTAATGATGATCTTTAGTTCTGAAATTACAAAGACACTTTGAATGAAACTTGTTGAATATATTCTCATATTGTATCACTGATAGCCAAAGATATTTAAATGTTCTTTCCATGACTTCTGAAATCTAATCTAAGTTTTTTTGAAAATTTTGAAATCACTCTCATTTACATCATATTGTACATAATCCTTCTGACATTGAGCTCTTCATACAGCTGTATGGCTGGATCATCATTATTTTGATTTTATTGTTTTTTTGTATCAAATTAGAACTACATGATCCTGTACCTTTCCTATCGCACTTTGTATAAATGTATCATGTATGTATTTCATCTTTCGCACAAGTTGCGCCTTGAGCATTTGACTGTCAAGTGGATTTGGTGCCTTATAAATCATATGTATTATTATTATTATTATTATTATTATTATTAATAATGCTGGAATTTCTATTCAAAGAAAGTGACCTAGAATTTGAAGATTGAATTTGAGTTTCGAGTTTCAAGTTTACATTTGAATTTGAATTTGATTTGCATTTGAATTTGAAAATGAATTTGAGTGTGAATTTGAGTTTCTACTTACTGCGTGTGCAGACAGATACATAAGGGTTCTTATCCCATTCAGTACTGTGGTTCCATAACCCACTACCCTGGCAACTGAACACTGTCTGTATACTGTCACTGGTTAGAATGAAGCCCGAGTTACACGCCAGGCGACACACCAACCCCGATGGGTCACAAGTCACCTGTGAGTTGGGCGGGGCTGTCAGCTCAGGACACTCCGTAGCTGCAATTAGAACAGAAATATTCATTTACCCCATCTGTTTCAATTTAAACCATATCAATGATGTAATGATGGAAATATATACAAGTATAACAATTTCAATCTAGTTCCACAACTGATGATTGATTCTTGCTGAAAATGGCAGAATTTTCAATGGGTCTATACAATCATCTGGGAGATATAAAGAGTATACATTATATATCTCCAATCATTCAATTGGCTGAAATATTACATACACATTTCATTAATGTACCTAGTATAGTTAATTAATGTACCTAGTATAGTTAGATATATTAACCCCTATATTTAGAATTTCTCTCATGTAATAATACTTTAACCTTGGCCTACTGTCTCAATTAAACATGCTCAATTCTAAATTGTCATTTATTTACTATAATATATAGAACTCCCGGACAGGCAGTATTTTGTAGACTTGCCCCTTAACATATTTTAGGCTCTCAGGAGCTAATATAAATCAGTAGGTATTTCCATCTACCGTACTTACTCTGTACAATTTCAAATTTGAGGTTGCACTCAGCTGTGTTGGATGCACTGTCGGTAGCTTGGAAGTGCAGCTCTGTATAGCCATATTCAAAAGCAAGATTGTTTTGCCATCGGTAACGTGTGTACCACTGCACACTTTGTTTACTATAAAAACAACAACAACAAAGAAAAAAATAATTGTTATAAAGGCTTATTCACATATGCTGTCAAAAACCACAGTGATTTGTTAACACTTAAGTTACATACTTGGCCTCCCTACATATTCGCTCGTTTACCACACAAGCATTTTTGCACAGACAATTAGGCACCAATTGAGAGAAGAGTTTTTTGTGCCACACAATTTCTTGAAAAATTACCAATTACCAATTCTGGTCTGACAACCTTTTAACACAAGTATAGATTAATCTTGACTGGAAACAGTTAAATAATCCTGAAGCCTTTGGTTATACCCCATGATAAATACTGTTTTGACCAGGGAGATCATTTGTGTGGCATACACAGAGTCAAGCATTGTCCGCTTCATATTTTAGTATCTGATAACACTCAGATAAGTGTCTACACAGAGGACCATAGTACGTTCAGTTCCCCCTTCTTTTTTTCATCACCACTTCCCAATCATTTAATAATAAAAGGAAACTGAGGTGATTTATATGAACAACATAATTTAAAGTGTTTCAGGATACCCGCTCCCCAAAATTGTAGTGGATTGATGCCTTCACCACCAAAGGACATATATATGTAACTGCCATGTGGGATTTGAACTTTTGATCTCTCTTTAGCTAGTCAGGTGAATGAAGTGACACCTAAACTTATAATAGGAAGGATTGTACGTTATAGACTAAGATTGAGATTGAAATGAAAATTGAAATCGGAATTGAATTGAATTTTTAAAATGATATTTCAATTTAAATTCTTATGGATTTCAATTTCAAGACATGTGGATAATTCTGAAGTTTATTAAAACCTGTCAGTTTGATTTCCTTTTGCCTCTTAAAAGCATTAGAATTGATCACTGTAAAGGTTTGTAGGAATGCATGTTTTGAACAAGCAGTATTTTTCAATTCATGAGTCTATGTATTTTGGGGGTTTAATTGTCTTCAAATCTGTGATGTTATTTATAAGCATTATGGCACTTACTGTTGTTAATACCTAGAAGTACACTCCAGTATTATTGAAGTGCATCTATCACCCAACATGTTTTGCTCTTCATGTAATACATTTCATGTGGCTCTACTGTATTCAGAATATGACCTTCATATATTACTTCTACAAAGAGATATACATGTATTACAATTTAAATACAGGTACCTATATATAAGTCCAAATTGGGTTCCAATTAAGCCCGATATGCTGGGTTTAATGTTTAATTATCATTTATTTTCTTCATACATGTATGTCTTGTAGTGACTTGACCTTTAATAGAAGAACTTTACATTTGTATATATTATTGTCTTGACTTTATTGTGTGGCTAGAAGTCTTGCCTTTTATTCAATTGTCACTCATTTCTATAGTGACACCTGTATTATAATTAGAGTGCCTGCACACATACTTTTTCTGGTATTGGGATGTGCATTTATTCTAGCAATCACATTCCACACCCTATGGCCCGAATTCACAAAGGAGGTTTGTCGACAAACCTTGGTTTTCGTACGTCATATTACGCGTATTACGCGTTTTACGCGTTTTTTACAAACCTGGTTTGTAAAGAACAATAGGAGGTTTGGCGAAACATAAGGAGGTTTGAGCTCAAACCTTGCTATGTGAATTCGGGCCTATGTGTTGGGATGTGCAACCACCCAATGTACTGGTATAGCATATACATGGAATTTATGTTCGTTATCGAACGCATACCTCCGCGAACAGCTGCATTACGTAATCTTTTGTTATATGCATTCTCGTTATTCGAGATTCAAGCTTACACGCTCATTCTCGGTTATGCAGTCAGAGCTCTCGGTTCTTATAGGCCTAACAAATACTTCAAACTAACTGCCACACCCTTAACAATATGGACGAAATTCCTGCCGCCTCGAACGAAGAAATCCTGTTGGCCATCCACGCCTTACAGCGCCGGGTCGACACCTGCACATCGACGGTTCAACAACCCAAACTCATCCCAACATTCAAGAGTGAAGGGAACAAATAACAGTTTGAACACTCTAAAAAGGTTGAAAAATTGATTGAGAGAGGCATCGCCCTAAACGAGCAGGGGGATTTTGACACGACAGCACTAACCCTGAAGGAAGCACTCCGAGAACTCAATAACAGGCAAAAGCTGATAAGAATCGCTGATCGGTCGCCACTCGGATGGTCAACCGTAAACGAATATGTCGGTGATGAACTTGCCGACGACTCAGGTGATGAGAAGCATCTTCGAAAGGTAATTTTTCCATTAAATTGTCCTCGAATTCACTTACATAATTTGTTCACAATGAAATGAATGAACGATTAGAGATAACGGTTATATAATTTAATTATAACCGATTGTATATTATGCGGAAAGCAGTTTTGTAACATTATCACCGCTACCTTGATCATCCCTAAGTAGCCTTCTTCTTACTTTTGGCCGATTGTCTGTCCAGACGGATCTCATTTGGACCCTCACGTGCACAATTGGAGGCTTCTTAACATTTCCTTTCACCCATCTTCTTTAGGAGTCGCAACCGTTTTTAATGAGAACCCTTCTTTTCTTTCCTTAGCTCTCCGTTTCGACTATAAACGTCCACCCCTACAGAATAATCGGGAATTTTATTGTACGGAAATGGGATACTGTTCGACATGTGTCTAAAATGTATCATTAGGCATGCTATTTTGTTTAATGCATCATTTGACATGCACCTTTGTTTTAGTTCATTGTTTCTTGCAAACTCCAACATCGTTTAACGCATCATTTGGTATGCAACATTGATTTAATGCATCATTTGGCATGCAAAAATCGTTTTCAATACATCATTTGGCATGCAAAAAATTGTTAATGCATCATTTGGCATGTAAAAATCGTTTTAACGCATCATTTGGTATGCAACACTGATTTAATGCATCATTTGGCATGCAAAAAAAAAAAAAAAAATTGTTTAATGCATCATTTGGTATGCATAAATTGTTAATGCATCATTTGGTATGCATAAATCGTTTTAATGCATCATTTGGTATGCAATATTGATTTAATGCAAAATGTACAAGCATCAGTGTCACTCTTTACCCGCCTTCTTCAACTTTCTTTGGCGTTTTTTCTCAAGAGCCAGTACTGCTCCGTACCAATCTGTTCACCAATATCCTGTTTCAAACTTGTCATTTATTTTGTATTAAGGTAGATAGAATATAAATTAACTTTCTGATGGAATGTAAGTGGAGGAAGAAAGTGGAATTTATGTTCGTTATCGAACGCATACCTCCGCGAACAGCTGCATTACGTAATCTTTTGTTATATGCATTCTCGTTACTCGAGATTCGAGCTTACACGCTCATTCTCGGTTATGCAGTCAGAGCTCTATTACCCTCCCATCCCAAAATAACTTCCCTTTTTAAAACTATTCACATTAAAGAAGCAAATGCATAGCATTTATTTACACCAATCATTATTTGTGTCATGATCACGATCGTCAAAAGTGGTCGCCCTTTTATGCGACCACGCTATTATTGTCGGATTTGCAGTTTTGTTTCTTTTTTTATATCTTCCATTTGGCAAAAGAATGGAGCAAGCTGTCCTCGCCACTCCAGGACACATCATTACAAGCCTTGGCAGTCTATGATCTTCCTTCACTCCTGATGACTGCCAAGGCATCTTCAACCACCAAGCAATATCTTCATTCTTGGAAAAGATGGGAGGATTGGGCCACGGTTGGTTTTCCCGGTGCAGCCCTTCCATTTATCTCTGTACATATCACATTTGGCTACAACCGGCATGAAGTCGCTTGCCGACTCTGCGACAGCAGCTATAAAGTGGATCCACAACTTAGCAGGTCTGCATTCTCCTACCGATAACCCAATGGTCAAGCTCGCCCTGCAAGGTTTCAAACGCGCCAGATCTTCACCGATACTAAGAAAGCATCCGATCACCCCAGATATTCTAACGAAGATCTACGAGAAATAGGGGCATGACCATGCTTCTCTAGCAGATCTACGGGTTTTGTTTGTGTGCTTCATTTCTTATGCTGGTTTCTTGAGATTTGATGATCTGAAAAATATTTCCAATAACGACCTCACATTCACATCTGATCGTCTTGTCGTTCATCTCACGAGCTCAAAAACAGACCAATTTAGACAGGGGTCTGATGTCGTTATCGCTAGATCATTCAAGCAATCATGTCCAGTTCGCGTAGCTGAGAGATATCTTGCAGCCCTCCGCGATCCTCCGGACTCGCTTCTACCTGTCCTTCGTAAGCTATGCTCATCTACCAAAGGTTTACCTCCTACCCTTCTTCCTCTCAGCTATACCCGTACACGCAAAATAGTGCCAGACGCCATCAAGCCATTTGTAACCGACATCTCAGCTTACGGTCTCCACAGCATGAGGTCAGGAGGGGCAACTGCAGCCTTAAACGCCAATGTCTCACCTTTTCTGATTTCAAGGCACGGACGATGGAAGTCGACGAAGGCCAGGAACGCTTATTTACAACCCGACGTCAAGTCTGACCTCATACCTTCACAGAGCCTCGGAATTTGAATCACTATCGTTCATATTTGACTATCTAGCAATTATATTCGTAGTATACTGCCAACTATTTCACTATTTTACATGTATGTTTACATGACACCTACAAAACTCGTATCCAAAATACTTGTAGGTGCACGGCTTTTTTCATAAATGTTGTCATATTACTGTTTTTGTTTTTTTTAAACAAGGAACAGGGAGTGCACCCTCGTTCAGTTCCCTTGGTCGCAACCATGTTTACTCCAAAAAATAACAAATACATTGGGGGTTGTTCGTGGCCTCCGTAAACTAGTGTCCAACACTAGCTAGGCACTGGACGCCTTGTTTTCCATTTTCGCTAGGTTTATCCTTAAAAATAAATAAATAAATAAATAAATGTAGATAAATCGCACGATTAGCTTCCAACCTAGCAAAATCGATGTATATATTTCGTGCGTATGTAATGCTTTCTGTAGGCGCCTAAATACAGCTTACCTGTTTTTTTTTTTTATA